ATGCGTAGCAGTGGTGGGCAGTTCTGGACGCACTGAAGTGAGCGTGGCAGCGCAGGTAGGTTCAGCGCAGTGCTGGTCGAGAACCGCACCTCAGCCCTCCGTGGAGCCGGAGCGGTGCTGTGCGTAGAGTCCGCTCTGATGCATATGAGTAATGAAGTTGATTTCAGGGTAATTTTTTTCAGATGCATGTTATGCTAGTAACTTCCATTCCCTATCTGAAGAAAATAAGGATTCAGCACAGAAGTTTGTTATGCTTCTGGCAGTTCATGTGTCCAGCTGCATGCCAGGAGGCTCATCATCATCCCGGCTGTACCTGGGGCCTCTTCTTGGCAGTTGTCTCTGCTTCCTCCACAAAGCAGAATACACAAGAAAAACTCAAGAGGACAGGTTCCTGTCTCCTGTCCGTGGTTTAGCTTATCTGAGTCCAGGATTTCCCTTGCTTCCTGGTGTCCGTCCCCCACCCCACCCCCTTGAGACAGGCCTTCACTGTGCAGTTTAGGCTGGCCTTGAACTTACCATGTAACCCAGGTTGGCCTTGAACTCATGGTGATCCTCTTGCCTCAGTCTCCAAGTGCGGGGATTACAGTTGCACTCCTCCGCATCCAGCTCCTTGCTTTCCATTTAAGACAAACTCCTCTTTTTCTTTTGAATCCCAGTTTCCAGATCTTTCCTCTCAGCATGTCTGTGCTCTCCCAGTGTCATAGCATCTGTCCTCCGTTCTTGTCAGACTCCACTCATACCTGAAGGATAGTCCAGCAGTTGTTTGGTTTCCTTGTTGTTGCTTCTCTTTTAATCCTTTATGACCACTGTCCTGTTTCACTGAGGTTTTGCAGGCAAGCGACCTCTTACTCTTCTGTTCCAGAGCACAGGTCCCAGGCCCCACGCTGCTTGTCTTCCATCATGATTTTCCCTGTCCCTTCCGTCTTCTCTGAGGTTTCTCCACGCTCAGCTGGTGCTGCGCCCTCCTGGATGCTGTCTCTGCTTCCTTCGTGACATTTCCCCTCTGTGGCCTGCCCAGCGTCTTCAGGATTTTGTCCTGGCTGGCTCACTATGTCCCCTGGGCGCTCTCTAGGATGATGTGATACGAGCCTTTCTGATCTGAATTTCCACAGAGATCTTTGTTAAGTACCTAAATTAACCCCACTTGGGATCATGGATGGTCCTCAAGCTCAGTGTGTTCAAAACTCAGAGGTCCACCAGTGTCTTCCGCTGTTCCTGATCCCATTACCTAATTCAGAAATGAAAACCTTGTTCCTGCTTTTCCTTTCAGCTCCATCAATCTAGTGTCACCAGCCATTTGTTTTTCTTCCATTCTGAGTCAGCCACAGGTTTAATTGCTAGTGCCAATGATGCTTTTTATTAGTCTTCTAAAAATTAGCAAAAGCTCTTTTCTTCCGTAGCTCATATTCTTCCACTGTACGTATCAGTGGCTTTGGTTTTGATCTTCCTAATGAAGGGAATATAAAGCCACAGGCAACCCATCTCAAAATGGAGAAAAATGTTAAGTATGTATGATGCTACAGGAAGACTGAGAAAGAAGCCACTTGATTTAGTAATTAAGGTGGCATTTGACCTCAGAGGGAAGTGTTGGGGTGGTGTAGTGAAGCCTTTCACATGCCTATTCCTTTGTGAGCTTGTTTCTGGGATCGCATCCATGTGGCACTTTGGTGCCTTGGTTCATGAACTTAAGAATTGTGGAGTGGAACCAGAATCATGGAACAAATTCTGTGACCAGAATCGTGGAAAATTAAGTTCATGAATCGGGTTATGAAACTTTGTTACCAGGGTCCTTCTTCTCCCTTGTTCATTTTATTAATTAGTGATTTTTCTTCAGTGTCACCACTCTACTCTCTCTCATAAGCCTTTGATTTTTCCCCCTGCCCAAATCTGAATCTCAAGATGTTTTAGAAATCAGCTGTTGGTCACTTCTAAAGCACTGTCAAGTCGTGGTAGCTCTTAATGATTGCTGAACTATTCCTTTTCATCCCTGCTAGCATACTCTTCCTTGGCAACACAGCAGACAGCTTCTCTTTCTTTTGCCTGCTTTACCCTTCTGGTCTGTGGCGCTCTTGGCTGTCCTCCTTTGAAGCAGTCTGCATGGAACTCCTGGGACTTCATTTTCCTGATTGTGTTGCTGCATCTTGGTGGCTTTTGCTTGGTTTCCTTTGAGGTCTTCCCCCTGCCCCCTCAGTACAGGTGATCTTTGGATTCTGTCCTGTAGCTTGGTCTCTCTCAGGATTGTATGTGGGTGTCTCAGGCATACTTAGGATTTCAACTATGTCCATCTGTTGACTCCCAAGTCTTTTTTGTCTTTCGAGCAACTTTTACCAAGCCGTGGGTCTGTATTTCTGCTGCCTACCAGACCCTCCACTTGGAGCTTTCACAGAATGTTGAATACAGTGGATTTGAAAGGGAACTCAGCCGTTGTCCTTTTTGTTTTGTCTTAATGCAGGGTGGCAACAGCTGTTCCTCAGCCAGAGAAGATACCTAGGCAACATTATGTCTACTTCCTCATTTTCTACTTTCATTGGGCCACAAATTCTGTTGATTCTACAGCTTGATTTCCTAAATCTGTGTTGAGTCTGCCCCTGAAGTCTGTGTTTACCATTAGCTTAGGCTGTCATTTCTTGCTTCATGGTTTTGTTTCCTAATTACTCTTTCATTCTGCAGGTGTTTCCTTCCTTTCTTTTGCTTCCAGGTATTATACTCAAAGCTAAGACTTGGGTGTTTCTTACATCTCATTTACATGTAAAATCCTTCCATGCCTCTCCTGTAACAACAGTAATGAATCATGATCCCTTTCATTTTGGGGTTGGTTGGGCCTCATAAATAATAAGTGGAAGAACAAGGATTTGAATCTTAATCAGTTCACTTTTATTTTGTTGTCCTTCCCCCACCATCTGTGGGTGCCCTTTAAAATCTTCCTGAGTTGGCCCCTATCTTTTTCCTCTCCTCTACGTCAGTGTCTAGGAGTCTTGAAATTTCAGGCCTGTTTGACTTGTTGATCTTCCTCAGAGGCGTCATGCTTTCTTACACCTTTCTGTGTTTGGACATGTTCCTGCCTTGTGCCTTCAGGGGCGCCCCTATGTCTACCCTGACCCCCCTCTGCTCTTGTTAGCTAGCCCCTTCTACTCCCATGACACCGTGTGTGCACGACCGCTGTGTCTGTATAAAACGTTTATAAATATATGTTCATTTCGGTGTAGTTTTAGATTTACAGAAGAGTTGGCAGTGGTAACGTAGAGTTCCCATAAAGCCCGTGCCTAGTTTCCCTGCTAACACGCTGTGTCGCCATAGAATAATGGATGTGGCTGATAAACTAAAGCAGCATGTCATTGTTGGCTAAGGTTGACACTCCACTGGGATTTCATAGGTTATTCTCCTGTGGTCCTTTCCATCTTGGAATTAGAGAAGCGTCTGTTAGGGTTTTTGTTGTTATTTTAATTTTTTTTTTTTTTCTCTTATGCTTTTCTGTGGTTAGGAGTGAGGCCTTAGGTTGGGAGGAAGACCAGAGAGGTGAAATGTTCTGCTCATCGTACTGTATCAGGGCAGCGAGCTGACCTACCACTGGCGACCTTGGTCAGCTGCCTGAGCAGCGTTCGTCTCGTCAGATTTCTTGTCCTTTCCGCTCTTCATTTCGTTCTTGTCTTTGGAGGCCAACCCTCGCATTTGGGGCAGTAAACTACCTGCCGTGGGAGTATCGTCGTCAGTTCCCTAGAATTTCTCTGTAAAGACTGGCTTTTTCTCTTTTATTTATTCATTCAGTCACTTAATTATATTAAGGAAGAGTAATTTGCTTTACACTTTGGGTTGTTACCCAATATTGTATTATGTATTTTTCTGCTCCAGTTACTCTCCCTTTAGCCATTGGGCACCCTTTCAGGCTATCTCCTCCCACTGCCTCAGCCCTAGAATCAGCCATTTCACCGAAGAGCTATAGATTTTCTTTCTTTTTTTTTTTTTTTTTAACTGGAAAAAGGTATTAGAAGCCAAAGACTGTGTGCTGCATGTGTAAGGTGTTATGAGGGTATCATCACTTTTGTGCCTTTCTGTAAGCAGTTACAAAATTTATCTGCATACAAGCTCAGGCGTATGTAAATGTAATTATTTGTCTCTCTTTATTATATTGAGCTAGATATGAGTGTGTACTGATGTCTGATTCATTCTACCCCTTTTTCCTTGCTTATCTAGAAATTGCCCTCTTACTGTGAGAAGCTGGACTCCCGCCACCATCTGCCCTCATGCTCTACTTTTGAACTGTTTCTTTCTTGCCTCCCTCCTTCACTAGTCTGTTAGTACCTTTGGCAGCTACTAAATCTTTGTGGAATGAGTGGTGAATCTTGAAAAGTTTAACATTTAAAATCTTAATATAAAGTTTGAAACAACTTTTAAACTATTTCTTATGTAAAAAGTACTCATGTAAGTATTCACTGTAGAAATTCTAACTTAGAAAACAATGTATGAAAAATAAAGCATCTCTGACACTGCAATAAAACTTAATATCTTGAAATAAGGTACTTTAGAACTTTTTCTTTTATGTAGTTATATGAATGACACTGAGTTTTTTTTTTAAAACAAGGATATGTACACTTACATTTCATACTTTGAATAACCCTTTTTCCATGTCATGTGGATGCATTACTTGGAATGGTTGTGTCCTATAGTTGTGCCGTGACTGAGCTGATTCCCGTTGTAAGATGTTTTAGTTACTGCTAATGTTCTGCTAGGCTAAACCCTGATGGGTGTTGTCCTCTTGGCATGCCGTTTCAGTTTCCTTTTAATGTATTCCTGAAAGTACAATTGCTGGATAAGTGCAGCTTAAGGTTTTTAGTATGTTTCTGGGGCAAAGTTTTTATATGGAGTATCTGCTTTCTTATTGCTTGCCCTCAGTGAAGTTCTCTTCCTTGAGATCTTGCATTCTTTTTGGGGATAATGATGAACAGTTTATCTTCAAAGCTAGGAACTCACAACTATTTGTGCCGATTTGTTCACCTGCACAGAGTATTGTGTCAAAGAACGCACTGCAGTATCGGGGAAATTCCCAGCATGATGCCCAGGAGTTTCTGCTGTGGCTTTTGGACCGAGTTCATGAAGACCTCAACCACGCTGTGAAGCAGAGTGGCCAGCCACCGCTGAAGGTGAGATATGCATCCCCTGGGTTAGCGAGGGGTGAGCTTTGGCGAGCGCGTGAGGAGATGGAGATGTCCTTCCAGACCTCCACGGAGGCCTTGTGCGTTTAGGTAACAGAACAACACTCGCCAAGCTCTGGGTAGACAGAGTGTCGGATGGAGACATGCAGGGCGAGCTGACTTAATTAAGTAGTGTACAGTCGAGCTAGACTGGGAGATGTCCCCACGGAACTCAGGGTCTAGTGAGGGACACGCTTTCTGTTCTGTATGCAGTAAGACGCACACGTTGCACATCACTAGAACTAGTGCGCAGTCAGCAGGGGAGGTGTGCGTCTCTGTGCAGTGAGCACTGGATTGAACCATGAGAGCTGAGCCTTCGCAGCATAATAATTCCCACTCGGGTTTGTAATAGGCCGAAGTGTGATGAGTAATTTACATGAAGGAAAAATTAAGAGTTACTCTCCTATACAACTTAAAACTTTTGGTGATTCTTCTCTGCTTCAAATTTTATATTTCTTGGGGCCAGGGAGATAGCTCAGTAGAATAAGCATTTTCCTGGCAAGCACGAGGTCCTGAGTTCAATCCCCGGTACCACAAAAAAAAAAAAAAAAAAAAAAAAAATGTGGCTGGCCAAACAGCTCAGCGGATTAAGGTGCCTGCGTAGGCAGATGCAGGGCCTGGAGTTTCATCCCCATGTGCTGTGCTGGCCCTGCCCCTGGGTGCGCTGCTGACCTGCGATTTAGCCTGGCCGTGGTGATGCGTACCTGTAATCCTAGCACTTGGGAGGCTGTAAACAGGAGAGTCACTGTGAGTCCAAGCTACACAGTGAGACCCTGTACACCTGGCCCTACATACACAAAAAGTATGTTTCTCGTTTGTTGAACTGATAATCTAATTCAGGACGTTTTGTGCCGGAATGTGGCTCTGTCATGTGACCCAGTGCATGGCTGACCCTCTGCATCCATTTGGGACAGCCTCACGTCAGGCATAGTGTCTTCCGCACGTTCACGTCCTGATGTCCTGTGCAGCACTTGGTGCATGCGATGGCTGACTCCATAGCTAGTTAGCTGGAGGGACACGAAAAGGTTAGTAAAGTGTGAAGTAGAGGGCCAGCGAGACAGCTCAGCAGTCTAAAGCACCTGCTGAGGCAGGCTTAGGCAGGCGCAGGGGACTGCGTTTTGATCCCTGGCACCACATGCTGTGCCAGCCCCCCCACCCCCCAAATAAAAGAAGTAGAGCATAATTAGGCATCCAAGTGCGTATCAGCAGACCGGCAGTGCTGGAGAGTTTAGTGTGGGCAGAAGTGGTGGTTTTAAAGTGGTCAGGATTGTTTCCCAGAAGAGATTGGGAAGGGCTCTGAGAGGTGGAGCATGATGGGATCATCCCTAGAGAGAGAGCTGCTGGGTCCTGACGGGAGGGCGTGGGACACAGCCTCTGCAGCCTGTGCGGCTGAGTCCTGGGCCCACAGCGCCGCCTGCTGGTTTCTGGCTCCCTTGGCAGTGCCCATTACCACAGGGTCTGGGGTGCAGTCAAGGGGATGGTGACTCCTTAGGCTCACTGTTACTTAAGAATTAGTACTGTGCTGATTGTCAATTCTACTTTTTTTTTAAAAGCCTCCATCAGAGACTGATTCGATGCCTGAGGGCCCATCTTTTCCTGCGTGCAGCACATTTGTCCAAGAACTGTTTCAAGCCCAGTACCGGTATGAGCAGATCAGTTATTCCCTTTTCTTTTGTCTGCTTGGCATAGTTCTAGGTGATCTTACTGTGTTTTACATTTTTATTTTAAAAGATCTTCTTTGACATGTCCTCACTGTCAGAAACAGAGCAACACGTTCGACCCTTTCCTCTGCATTTCTCTGCCTATTCCTCTGCCCCACACAAGGTAAGAACAAATGTAGTAAAATTCTGTAAGAAGTATGTTCTGATAGTGTAGCTAGCTTTCCTTTGCATGTTCTTATAAAGTCTTATGTATTTTGGCAGGCGACTGTTTTAATGACAGCTTGAGTGCAGGCTGTGTTAAACCCTTAAAGAAATGTCTGTGGATGGGCCTCAGCAGATTAAAGCCCCTGAAAGCAGGCGCAGGGGCCAGGGATTTGATCCTTGGGCATGCTGTGCCGGCCCTGCCCCCAGGGCATGCTGAGACAGCAGTGGAGACTGGGTGTGGTGACGCATGCCTGGAATCCCAGCTCTTGGGACGCTGTAAACAGGCGGATCACTGGGAGTCTGATCTAGTAGTGAGACCCTAAACACCCTGTAGACCCTTCCCTAAAATACAAAAAAAAAAGCAATGTCCTATGAGTTTGCAGGGTGAGCAGGCGCACAAAACAAAGACGCCTGTGCTGCGGTCTGGTTGAGCTGGCCGCCCGTGGGCAGTCTGGGGAAAAGCAAGGATAGTTGAGGGACTTCCAGACTTGCTGGAGACCTTGCATTGTATTTTTAACTAGTTGTTTTATTTTGAAATGTTTCTCAAAATTTCCAGGAGTTATGCCATTTTAAAGAAAATACAAAGCATAGGATCATTTTTGTTTCTGTCCAAAAATGTCTTCATTATATTGTATAATTTTAGTTTAGCCTTTGAACTTCTTCCATTTGGCTTCCAGGTAGAGGTGAGGGTTAGCTCCGGTTTTTCTGCTCACTTCAGATCAGGCTGGTTTTGCTTCTTTTGTATTTTGTTCAAGTAAGTGACTGATCAGATCCGACTTTGCTCTGTACAGGCCGCTGTATGTCACTGTAGTGTATCAGGGGAAGTGTTCTCACTGCATGAGGATTGGTGTGGCTGTGCCTCTGTCGGGGACTGTCGCCAGACTTCGGGAAGCAGTGTCTATGGAGACAAAGATCCCCACTGACCAGGTAATAATAGCCTTGCTAAGACCGAGTGTGTATGAGCCACAAAAGTGCTTCTGTTTCTGTGGAAGATTTATAGTTCTTTGTCAGATGTGGCTACATAGAAAGTCAGGTCAGGGCCGGGGAGATGGCTCAGTGGAATAAGTGCTTCCCTGGCAAGCACAAGGCCCAGAGTTTGATCCCTGGTACTGCAAAAAAGAAAAAGAAAAAAAAGAGAAAGTCAGGTCAGTTGCACCGACATTGAGGGGAAAAAGTCAAGACCCAAAAGAATAAAATGTACCGAAAAACTAATCGTGCTTTATTTAATTTTTATATTAATACATATAGATACATGTATATGTATGTACATGTATTAATGTTAAAAATGTATATTATGTATAAAATTTCCTTTTTCCTATGAAGGAAAAGCAGGACTTGACCAAGATCTTGTAGCTTTGTTTACAGGGTCTGCAGGGCCTCACTACACAGATGAGACTCAGTGATTCTCCTGTTTTTCAGCCTCCTAAGTGCTGGGATTCTAGGTATGCACCACCACGCCCAGTGTCAGTCACAGTCTCAGCGTGCCCCAGGGGCACAGCAAGGATCGAGCCCCAGTCCCTGCGTCTGCCTAAGTACAGCGCCTATTTGATTCACTATTACTATGCCTTTATTAGGAAAGATTCTTTATTTAAGATTTATTAAAGAAAGAGGACTTGGTGACAGAAGGGAGCACTCTAGAAGCTCCCGTGCGGTCATGTGAGTAATGCATGCGCCGGCGCTTGGGCTGTGTGCGCTTGTCGGGGATTGCCTCGGCGCACAAGTGCAAGGAGCCGCGTGGCCCCGAGGAGAGCGCGCTCAAGTTTGCAGGGGCCGAAAGCGAGCACATTGATGATGTGGTCCTGTTCCTCCTTCTTCTGAAGAATTCATTGATATTTTTTTTCCCTCCAGGGTGAGGGGAAGACAGAGAGGGAGGATGACTTGGGGTTCCAGCACAGCTGGTTTCATCTTAAGGCTTCAGTGCTGCCTGGCTCTTTTCACACGTGGCTTAAATTGTGAAATAATTTCACATTTGCTTTTTTTTTTTTTATATTTACTTATTTATTTATTTATTTTGTGTGTGGCCAGCTCAGCCCACCAGGGGGCGGGCGGGCTGGCATGTGGTGCTGGGGGATTGAACCGAGGTCCCTGTTCTTTGCTTGGCTTAGCTTGTTCTAAGTAGGTGCTTTAGACCACTGAACCATCTCACCAGCCCCTTCACATTTGCTTTTGACTTCAACTCACTGGTGAATTATATCTGCATGTTCACCAACAGAAAAGAGGGCACAGCCATTAAATTCATTAGAAGGAAATGTGCCTGGAGCATGTCCCCTGTGGCCACCAGCTCTTTACCTCGTAGAGCTGAGCACCTTGTAGAGTGTGGGTGCTGGCAGGAAGCACCCTTGGGCCAGCGCAGCCCTCGCCTCTTGTCTGAGGAAGGTCCTTGGCAACTGTGCGGCCTGCTGAGGTCACAGGGTCGGTGGCGGGCTGGGGCCCCCCAAGCGCTGCTGAGTGTGCCGCGGGGGTCCTAAGTGTCGCTGGGTTTTCTCCCCATCTTTTGGTGTTCATTTCATTGTAAAATAACCATTTCAGAAATACAATTTAAAAGTGAAAGAATTTGATGCTAAATATCTTAGTGTTAAGGTTTACCGACTTTAGTACTATGTTATATAGTATTCAGTTATTCTAGTATGTATGCAGTATTTTATAAAAATAGATTTATTTACAACTTTGTTTTTTTAGTTACTTAGTTCTTTCTTTGTTAGTGCAAGAGTATATAGTTTATTCTTTTTGGTAACTTTGTAATTCTAGTAGTGCTGCACTACATTTAACTTGTTTCTGTTGTTGGATGTTTAAGTATATTTCATTTTTTTCAATATAAATGTCAGGTTATTGTTATACTGTTCCTGTTTTGTTCTGCATCTCATTTCCACAAGGATGGGTGCTCCTCATCCTTAGCTGTTCATGAGAAATAAAAGTATTAATAAATAAGTTAAAGGTAGAAAACCAATGGAAGCATTAAATCCCCAAACTAGGTGGGTTTTTGTTGTTATTGTTCTGGGAATCGAACTCAAGACCATGTGCTCACATTTGTAACCTATTCGGAAGGAAATTTGATGATGAGGGAGAATCTCCGGTAGCTGCGGGATAGTTGTGGTCCTCTGCTGGGTCTTCCACCTTTCTTCCCTTGTGAGACAAGAGCTTAGAATGTATAGTCTCCTGCTTGTCTTCTGCACCAAAACTTAAGGAACTTTGCATTTACTGTCATAGGATTCCGGAATCAGTGTGTTGATAGACAGTTACAGAGGATAGTGTGCTTCTAAAATTCTCATGCGCCAGGCATGGTGGCGCACGCCTGTAACCTCAGCACTCGGGGATGAGTCAGGAGGGTCCCTGTGAGTTTGAACACAGCCTGGGCTACATAAATGAGTTTAAGGTTAGCCTGTACTACATAGTGATGCTCTGTCTCAAAAAAGAAAATAAACAAAAACAGAATCAAAAAACAGAAAGATTCTCTCATTAAACGGAAGTGCACTGCCAAGTTCTGACAGTTTAGAGAAGTTCATATTAAAATTGGGAGATCATTCTTATTGAATCCTAAGTTACCTAACTATTTGTTTTTCCTGTCTTTTAGATTGTGTTAACAGAAATGTACTATGATGGATTCCATCGTTCATTCTGTGATACAGATGACCTAGAGACAGTCCATGAAAGTGACTGCATTTTTGCCTTTGAGACGCCAGAAATATTTAGGCCTGAAGGAATTCTCAGTCAAAGAGGTAAGCGAGCCCCTGTTCCCTAACACGACCTGCGTGTGCGGGTTGGGCAGCGTCGACCCGTTTAGGTGTTACGCGATGATGCACATCTGTTTTACTTGTGGTAAAGTGCACACCTAGTGTCCTGATTTTCACTGTCTTTGGTTCATAGCTGTTTTCTTGCTTTCAGTAAAAACTCCATTTCTGTTAGTAGTAGTGATGTATATGAACTCCAAATCTGATTTGTCTTTATTGAATAACCTCTCAACTGCCCATTGTGTAATGACCTTTGTGGTATTTCTAGAAGCCTTACTCGACCAACTTTTTCTTTAAGCTATTTTTAGTTTCTAGTTGTGTGTGTGTCTTAATATCTCTTTTCTGTTCTTGTATTTTACTCTTGGAGACTATTTTAAATACTTTTTAAATATACCTTAGTTGAATTTATGCAGAGCAAAATTGCTCTGTCTTTGTACCACCATCACACTTAATAAATCACTGTCCTTATACTGTTCCTGTTTTGTTCTGCATCTCATTTCCACAGGGATGGGTGCTCCTCATCCTTAGCTGTTCATGAGAAATAAAAGCATTAATAAATAAGTTAAAGGTAGAAAACCAATGGAAGCATTAAATCCCCAAACTAGGTGGGTTTTTTGTTGTTATTGTTCTGGGAATCGAACTCAAGACCATGTGCTCACTAGGCAGGCGCTGTGCCGCTGAGCTGTGTATCCCCAGCTCCCACAAACTTTTTTTTCTTTATGTTTGACCAGGTACATACATACATTTTCATTTTATAGTATAACTTATATTTCAAGATTTTATTAAAAATTAAGATTCGCAACTATCAAAACATTACTAAGCACATATAAGCTCATGATATGTAGAAGACATGTTAAATTTTCACATGCCCTTATCAGACATCCTACACATGAATTTATGACTCCTATTTTCTGTTTCTAGACACATTTCAGAAATTTCAAATTTAACCTCAGTATTCAATACCTTTTATTAGTCTCGAGTATTTGTCTTTGTGTTTGTTTCCTTAGTAATGCACTGGTTTTTCTAGGTTGGTTGTAGATTTTTTTTTTTCTTTTTAAGAAACTAGACTTATTTATTCAAAGGACTGAAAAAAACAAGATCTGTCCTTATTGAATTTTATTCTTAGCAAACATGTCTTTGAAAACTAAAAGTAAAATATTTTCCAGTTACACAAACTTGAAATATTCTAATAGCTCCAGATGTAGCATATAGAAAATAACAAAGACCATAATCCAGAAGGCAAGAGATGTTGCTGTGTGGTCCTGGATAAAGAAGAAAGAGCTCTCAAAATGGGAGTTATGCAGGACTATGTAAAATATAATTATATTAGACAAGCCCTTTTAAAAGGTCATTGAAGATTTCCATAAAACAGTATTAATCTTATGTCAGGTTATATACATATTTTGTGCGTGTGTGTGTGTGTGTGTGTGTGTGTAAAAGACAAGGAAGAACTAATTTAAAGTCAACGGAAAATGTAAATACACTTTTTAAGATTTCACTCAGTAGAATAAGTACTTGCCTGGTAAGCACAAGGGCCTGAGTTCAATCCCTGGTTCCACCAAAAAAAAAAAAAAAAAAAAAGTTTCTAATACTAGGAGAAAATATATCATTTCTTATAAGTAGATTGTAAGTAAAAGAAACAGTATAAATCATAAAACAAAAATTAAAATTAAAACAATATTAAAAAATTTATTAATTCAAAATTAAATGTTTCAAGATAATATTCAAAAATGAAAATTAAATTGTGAGTCCAACTAAGAGGCCAGAGTAGTGTATCATATGTATGAATCTGTGATTGATTCAGTGTACTCACACAGTAGGTGACTAGGTTAGTATATACAAAAGTGTCAACTAAGAAAAAGTTCATGATAGTAAAGAATTACTAAGAATAAAACATAACAGAAATACTGGAATGGTAAATATATGACCAGCACTTCTAACAGTTTGGGGATAAGATATTGCACAAAGTTCTAGTATGTGGTCGACGTGGACAGTGTCCATGATGCTTACTGGTGGCCAGGTGTCACCCGTGGGACTGAGCCACTGCTATTTCCTTGATATCTACCCTGTAGGCCTGGTTAGAATCTTGACCCATAAGGTGCAGGGAAGGCCATTTGTACAATATGCTGATGGAAATATTTTGTTGCTGTATACAAAAGAATAATTGAAAGACTGCTGTTGTATACCTCTTATTCTCCTGTGTTTAATTGTTCGTCCTATTTGGTGTGTTCTTTCTGTTCTCATTCATGGAGTTGTGGTCATTTTGATCCCTCTGTAGAATATCTTTTACTAGTCTGTTAGGGTTGGCTTTGTTGTCATGAAATTCTTTAGTTCTTTGTCATGAAAGTATTTCACTTCTCTGTCAAACTTGAAAGACAGTTTTTCAGCTATATCAGGCTGGATTGGAATTTGTTTTCTTGCAAGACTTGTAGTGCTTTGTTCCATGTTCTTCTTGACTTGATGGTTCGTGATGAGAAATCTGCCATTATCCTGATGGGTTTTCCTTTAAATGTGATGTTTCTTTTTTCTGGTGGCTTTTGGTGTACTGTTCCTGTGCTGAATTTCTGGGATCTTGATTATTATATGTCTGGGGATGGTTTTAATTGGGTTGATGTTATATTTTCTGCTATTACTTCTGCCCATATTCTTTTTATATCATTTGTATTGACTCCTTTCTCATTGATGCCTATCCATCTTACATTGCTCATCTTTGCATCATCTTGCAGATGTCGAATTATTTTTTCCTGAATCCTAGTTGTTTTTAAGAGATCTTTTCTTACCTTTTCACTAGCTGCAATGGTGTCTTCAAGGTCTGAAAGTCTATTTTCACTTTCATTCAGACGGTTTTGCCAGCTTGTGATTGAGGTTTTAATTTCCTGTATATCACTTTGAATCTGCTTCATGTGATCTATTTCTTTCCTGTATTGCTCATGCAAGGATTCCATCATTTTTATATTCTCTATTTTTTTTTAATCAGTGTCTTCTTTAGGAGCACTTAGTACTTCTTTCATTATAGCTATCATTTCTTTTTTTACTTCAGAAATTATTTCTGATCTGATTTCCTCTATACCTTTCTGCAGTTGTTTCTTTACTTCAGACGCTATTATTTCAGAGATTTCAGGTGTGCGATTTCCAATTCCTTTTTTTTTTAATTATTAATTTTATTGAGAAACAAATAGCAATGAGAGAGTTTCAAAAATCCAATTTCTTCTATGCTGTTGTCTCCTGCATTTGTCGTGGGTGGGCTTGGGGCCAGACAATGCATTTTGCTCCTTCTCTTTGTCATTTTATATAGCACTGTCTTCTGACCTTTGGTGTAGAGCTTTGGTAGAGTTATGACCTTAGCACCAGTCTGGATCTACCAAGTTCAAACTTGTCCAGGTGGCTGTAGCTTGGGTCTGGCTACTGTGCTCCCTGTCTTCCTGCTGCAGCCCTTGGACGTGAACCTGCTGTGCCCCTCTGGCAAGATGTTCAGCTCCTGGATTACCTGGGTGGGTCTTACTTTTAGCCTCTCTGCAAGGAATTCTGCCACAGGGTTCCACACCAGGCCTGTCTGATGGAGGAAGTTCTGCACACGCCAGGCCTGGGCGCTGGCTGGAATGAGGATCCTTTGGACCAACAGGCGGTCCCACTCACACACCGGGCCCGGGCGCTGCCTGGAGTGAGGATCCGTAATGCCCTAGGCGGTCCCACTCACAAACCGGGTCTGGGTGAAGGCTAGAGTGAGGATCTGGCGGGTCCCGGGTGACCCCACTCACTCTGCTGGCTGGAGTCCCACAGACATTTTTTAAAGGGAAAAAGCTGCCACTAATAGGCAATCTAAAATTTTTCCTAGAAATTCTAAGAAAAAGTTCTAAGAAAATTCTATCATAAAAAGATATTTAGACTGAGTAAGGTGCTGAAAATATAAAGGTAAATGAGATAGTTGCTGCCTATAAGGAAGAGGTCATGTCTAACAGATATAATACCCTTTCATATGAAAAAAATAATCTATGGACCAATATTGTATTTGAAGGATATATATTATGAGAGACAATGGCTTTTAAGATCAAGGATTTTTTAGAAAGTTCCCTACTGTGTTTTCCTATTTGGATAGTTGGGCTGTTCTGCCCAGGGCAGTAAGATAGGAGAAGCAGCGAGGACTAAGCGTTAACCCACAGTAGCTGTTACTGGGCGTGTGGTATTGGGAAGTTTCTGTCTGATTTGCTCAGACATGAGACAGAGAAAACAGATTTCTGATTGGAGAGGGGCGAGATCTCTTCACAGAATGCAGACCCTAGAAAATCACTGATTGGATTTGAGATTCCTTTGTCTCCATACTGTTAACTTTTCGCTTGGCTGGTACTTAGTCATGGCTTTGAGACCCCTGTTCTTAGCCTGCATTGCATACCAGCATCATCTGAGAAGCTTACAAGGCAAGATGGTCAGATACCCAAAACCCATCTTCAGGTCAGTGGAGTCGTTTTTCATGGTAAATGATGTTGCATATCTTGTCATGGTCTTGCTGGCCACTTACATGCCCTATTTGGAGGACTTTGTATTAAACTTCTTTTCCTACCTTAAATTTCATTGCCTTTTGTAGCGTTGTAGGAACTCTTTGTAAGCCTTCGTATGCAGTATCGGTCCCAGAAAATGATCTGCAGATGTTTCATCCATTCTGCGACCTGTCTTTGCCCACAACCCTTTTGCACGGAGGCCTTAGTCTAATGAAGTCTAGTGGGCCCGCTCCTCTTCGTTGCTTGCGACCGTGCTCCCGACATAAGGGTCAGCGGCCAGACGCAAGGTTGTGACACTTGCTGTGTGCCTTCTCCTGAGAGTTTTGCAGTTCTCGCTCTTGCGTTCAGGTTGTTACCACCTTTTGAGTTAATCCTTGCCCGCGGGCTCGGTAGGGACCCGGGCTGCTGCTGTGCATGTGTGCGTTCAGTGGTCACAGCACCATTGCTTGAGCAACTCCTCTTCCTCACTGAGTGGCCTGGTGCTCGTGTCGGAAGTCTTTTCTGTTCTTTCTTTGTAGCCTCTATTTTTAGGGGCCTCTGGAACTCTTATTTTCTGATTCTTTTTTGTGGTTTTGTGTATTAAATTGGTCAGCTTTCTCCACTGCCAGTTTAGATTCAGTTTTGTCTGGTTCACAATAATTTACATTATTGTTTTCTAGATAGTCTGATTTGATCTGGTTTTGATTTTCCTTTGGCCCAGTAGTTTTTATTTAATTTTTTTTTTTAAAACTTTTATTTCTTTACTTCTTTCTTCATTTGGTACAGGGTCTTGCTGTGCAGCTCAGACTTGTAGTGATCCTCCTGTCTCAGCCTTCCCAGCGCTGGCATTCCAGGCTTGGGCCACCATGCCCAGTTTTGGGGCCAACAGTGTGCCTGGGGCTTTGGGGCAGCATGGCATGTGGTACTGGGGGTTGAACCGAGGTCCTTGCGCTTGCCAAGCAGGTGCTTAGACCACTGAGCTATCCCCCAGCCCAGTAGTTTTTATTTTAATCTTACAGTCACTGCATTTTTATTCATATGCTTTTGTTTATTTAAATTATTTTCTAATAAAACCCTTATTTTCTAACTTCATTGTAGTACAGTGTGCCTGTGTGTGTGTGTGTGTGTCTCCGCCCACGTTCACCCGTCTGCCTGACCACATCCAGTCATCGCCTTGTCCACATTTTCTTTCTTCACACCCCACCTCAGTCTCCCGGGCTGCTAACTTCTGCGCCTCCATTGTCCAGTCGTAGCTTCTGCTGACCTCACATTCTCATAGGCCTCTGGAAGTGATCTTTTTTCTCATTTGTCTTTCCCACCACACTGGAATTCTTTGCAGTTGTGGTCAGTTTTGCTTTATCTTTCTTAACACACAGCAGGAGTGCAGCTAATGATTACTCAGCTGAAAATTCCTCAGTGTTCCCATTCTCACTGAGGTTGTTTAGGGTTACCACTGAGTTTCTATTTATAGATGAATTTAGGCGGTCCAGAGGTTATCATGCTAGCCAGGGAAAGACTTTATTGGAAAGATACGCCACTCATCTAGTGTTGTGAGCCTCTGATCGGAAGACCCTGGGAGCATTTCATTAGCACGGGAGAGGTTACTACCTTCACACTCTGCAAATGAGGGGGCTGCAGCTTAGGTCCAGTCACGAGGCCCAGGTCATACAGCTGGCAGTAGATAGCCCATAATCTGAGCCCCGAGTCTGATTTCTGTGCAATCAAGTCACACCCTGTTTTGGGCACCCTAATCACTTCTGGAAGAACAGGTCTTTCCACTCATGCCTCTGCCAGGAACCTGGGGAAGGAGGCCACTATTTCGAATTCAGTTTTATCTTTTTCTTCATCTTCTCATACCAAACTTTAGAATGGTTATGTAGTAAAATCTATTCTTTTTCCTTTTGTGATTTCTTTATAGTATTTAAGCTTAAAAGTTTTCTTCTCTGTAGTAGCTTGATTTTTAGTTTTTTTATTTCAGTATTTCTGTGTTTTTAAAAAACAAACTTTCTGGAATTTATCTTGGTTTTTATACTTTTAATTTCAAAGTGCTATAATGGTGATATATCTTAATAGCAAGTATTGTGTTGCTGGATTTTTCGGTTATTGCCAGAATTGTGTTATGAATACTTTTTTGTATGTTTATTTTTGAAGCAGGGTCTCACTGTGTAGTGCAGACTGGCCTTGAACTTGCTTTGTAGCCCCGATTGGCCTTCAACTCACAGTGATCTTCCTGCATCAGCCTCCTGAGTGCTGGGGTTGCAAGCGTGCACCACCATGCCTGGCCCTGAGTGCCTTTATATGAGCCATTTTTTCTTACTTTCCTTGTGGTGGTGGTATTACTTCTGATGGCAGTGGTAGCGCCTTTTTTCTTCTCTTCTCCAGTTGAGCTGTCACCTCCTTAGATTGTGTACTTCCAAAGCACTAAAGAAATGAACATGTATTTGATCAGGTATTGTTGTGGTGCAGAGCCTCGTGCGGGTGCTGACTGGCGGGCAGCTCTTCCTGACGGGGAGCTTTGCTTGGGGCACTGTGCAGACCACCACGCCTGCCACATGTAGCTTGTCACTTTGATGTGGGTCCGTCCAGCTGCACTGGCTTTGCTGAAGCTGGCATTCTCGTACTGTGTCTGGTCTAGGAAGTGCAGCTTTATCTTTTTCTGAAAACAGTAATTAGGGACAAGAAATTGTGACTGGGGGGCTGGGGAGATAGCCCAGTAGAATAAGCGCTTGCCTGGCAAGCACAAGGCTTGAGTTCAGTTTCCGGTTCTGCAAAAAAAAAAAAAAAAAAAGAAAAGAAAAGAAATTATGATTGGAACATTGTAGACCACTCCAACGGTTCTTGTTTTCATTTTTAAAAAATGTATTTCATTGCTAGGTATTGGATCTCATTTTAGATTATCTCATTATTGGGCCATCTAAAACTATCTGGCATTTTATCATTCTAAAACTATCTGCATTCACCAAAGTGGAGAATTGATTTTCAGTTTTTAAAAAAGGCTAATGTAAAGGAAATAGTGAATGATAAAAATTATTTTTATGCCTAAATAATCTTACAGTAGTGTTTGTTGTTTTGAGTTACAGTTTAAATTATATAAAGATGATTTCTTATTTTTCCTTTTGAGTAAATTTATTTTTAATGAATGAAAAGAATTTTGAAGAGATAAAGCATGGTGTTTTGTTCTGTTTCAGGAATTCACTTAAACAACAATCTAAACCACTTGAAATTTGGCTTGGATCATCACAGACTGTCTTCTGCTACACAAACAACAGTAAAGCAAGGGAAAACGGATCAGCCCAGCACCAGAGCAGGGAGTGACAAGATTGTTCTGTTGGTGTGTAACAGAGTCTGCACTGGGCAGCAAGGGAAGAGGTGAAGAAAGCCAACTTGTTTTCCAGTAGATGCTGAGACTTTAGGGGATCAAATGCCTTTAGATGTTCTAAAGAATGAGGGTGAAAAATCATATATATAATTTATTCACTTTATCCCTTCTAAATATCTGTACCTGATTTGGTGGGTTTGGAGGGGAATAGTCTAAAGTTAGGGAAATAGGGCCGGGGATATAGCTCAGTGGCAGAAGCGCCTGCCTGGCATGCACAAGGTCCTGAGTTTAAATGCTGGTACAAAAAAAAAAAAAAAAAGAAAGAAAGAAAGAAAGAAAGAAAGAAAGAAAGAAAGAAAGAAAAAGAAATTAGGGTAGTAGAATCTGAGTTAGAAGGGCTTTTCAAGCTCATCTGCTTTCTGAAGGCCCTTTCCTTACGCATTTCAGCTCAAGCTCTTGCTAGACCTATATCCAGCTACTTTCTTAATAGATTTAAAAAATTTTTTTCTTATGTCCCTGATTGGTATGTGCCCCTCAGTGTGCCTCATTCTTATGTCCCAAATTGAACTCCTCTTCTTTCCCTGTAAAACTGGCCCTCTGATGTTTTGTGCCTTGACAGATGGAATTACTGTTTGTTTAGCTTTGTCAGCTAGAAATTTGGGAGTCATGGACTGGGGAGATAGCTTAGCAGCCGGAGCACCTGCCTAGCAAGCGCAAGGTCTTGAGTTCGATGTCCAGTATTGAAAAAAAAAAAAAAGAAAGAAATTTGAGAGTCAGAAATATTTCTCACATCTGTCTGCTGCCTTCTCTAAGAAATTGGGGAAGATTTGCAATGTCTCTTAAAAGTAATTTTATCTCAGGAGTCTTGTTGCCCAGGAGTAACAGGAAGTGTTCCAGGGAGAAAGGACTAAGGGCAGTCTTCAGTGAATCTTTAGAAGTTTTGCTTTGAATTGGGTTCCGTGGGTGGTTAGTAACATAGTAGAAAGCGTGTTGATGCATTGGCTTAGTCTTGTCAGTGTGTCAGGCACTGTTCTAACCCTGGAGAACACAGCACTGACAGACAGGGCATGTGTCCTCCCAGAGCCACATTCCAGTTGTGCACACACCTAAGTCAGTGAGTACATTTCACTGAGACAAGCGGCACCATGCTGAAGACAGCGCAAGACAGAAGGAAGGCGCGTGTGGGGCTGCGGGGAGGAAGCCAGCAGGTCTGGTTGGAAAGGCAACTCTGGAGGCGGCCTGGGGAGCTGCTGCAGGCCACGGTGGGAAGCAGGAGAGCTGTGCGACGCCCTGGAGAGGGTCCTGCCGTCGAGGCTAGGAGTGAGGCACGTGAAGGCACCGAGGGAGGGCAGCTCAGCTGGCATATGCCGAAGCTGTGGCCCCTCTGGGCCTCTTACGGAGGGGACAGTGTCTTCACAACCTTCATAATTGCCTGGCTTCTCGTGTTTTTTGTAAATAGTGAAATAGAAGGTAGTGAATAGGAAGCGGAGCCAGCTTTTGCTGGTGGGAGGGATCTAGAGATGGAGGAGGGTGAGGGACGATACAGAGAATGGGGTGCATTGCTGACGTGTGCCGGGTGCTGTGGTGAGCGTGACCCATGTGCACTGCAAGCATGTGCTAATGAAAAGAGCGATGGAGGTGTCGAGCGAAAGGCCTAGTGGGGTTACACGGGGCTCACGTCACGTTGGTAGTTTTCAGGTGGCCAGGCTCGCTGCTGCGCCCTCCTGTGAGCAGACACGAGGTACCTACTGGGAATGGGTTCTTTTGCTTCAGCCTGGTCCTGGTCAGAGTTCACTGTTAGATAAATTGTCATCATTCATTCATTCATTTGACGTCAACTAGTTTCTGGGCATTGGCCATTCTGGCTGCTAGGATCAGTACATCGCAGTTAGTGCCCTCAGATAATGCAGTCGTTGGTGGAGACAGCAGTGTGGACAGGCAGTCGAGGACCCCACAGTTAGTGCTGTGGTCCATACAGGAAAAAGACTAACAGCGTGCTTCCTGGAGAAAGACCTCCTTCTTGAAGCTTCCTGTGGAAGAGGAGGAGATAGCCTGAGAGCGGGTGGGAGGGGTGTTCCAGGCCTGGGGCCTGAACCAAGACCTGGGTGCGTGAGGGCAGGACACACTGGGAGCTCAGCATGTAGGTCTGCGTGACTAGGGCCATGATGGCAAGCACTGACACCAACAGCCTGCTGTGGGGCACCTGCCATGAGTTCGCCACATTGGACGAGGACGTGTATGAAAGTTGCGGGGAGACCAGTAGTCCTCAACTTCAGCTGCATTTTAGAACCAGCTGGGGCTCTTGGAAACAAAGAGTCCCTGAGTCACATTGCAGGTGATTCCATTAGAATCCCTAGGACTGGAGCTGGGCCCCACTCTTTTGATGTGTCTTTGGTGCTTTCGGTGTGCAGCTAGGCCCGAGAACCCTGGTGCTGCCTCTGGTCCATTAGCCCGTAGACACCTGGCGAGGTTGGCGCTGACGGCAGCGTCACTGGCTGGGTGTTGCCTCCCTCATCCTCTGCCTCCCAGGTTCTGACCACTTGCCCAGCAGCCCTTCCAGCCCTAATGTCCTGTGTCACGTCACTCTTGGTAGCCTGACACACCATCCGGGCTCCTGCATACTTTCCTCTCTGACTGCTTAATCCTCTTCCCTGGCTACCTTACAGCCTGGCATTGTACTCCATTTTAGTATATGAGCCACTCAGTTTTAGTTAGAAATCTAAGTTACACATTTGACCTTTTCATTGTTTCTTTGTGTGGTTACCATTGAATTTCCTGTCTGAATTCTGTCCTCAAACCAATTATATTGAGATTCCCTAAGGGGTTGCTGTACCGTTAAGGTGATGGCAGTGTTTCTGTACGGTAGGTTTGGATTGCCTTTTGTCTTGCACTTGGAGAAGACAGTAGCCTGGGACTTTTTACAGAAGGAAATCTTGGAAAAGATGAAGTATTTCTTGAGGCCTACTGTTTGCATTCAGGTATGTAAATATTTTGCTGTCCCAGCAGAGCATACATGTGTACTCTGTGAGGAAACTGTTGTTACAGTGAAATTTTATTTTGAAATTTTAATTTTAATTTGTTTTGTTCAGATTTTCAAGACTGAACACTTATACCTCCTTTTATAAAAGGAGCAAGTTGGTTGCTGCAGGATTTTCCTTACGTGCTCAGCTTGAAGTTATAGTAGAGCCTTTATCATTACTATATTAGGTACTTGTGTAAAACTGTTTAAGTTAATGTGCAGTGCAAACAGTGTATTGCTTGTCTTCTATAACACTTTACATAAATTGCATTTGTGTAAATCATGTTTAAAATATTTTAGCATGGTTTAGCAACCTAACAGTAGTATAGAGAAGCATTTTGCAGAACAGTTTGCTGTAATGACACTGTAAAACGTGCATTTGAAGAGCAATTCAGTCCAGTTTCCGTTGCACATTCGATGCAGGTGTGTCCATTCAGCCTGCGTGTGGTCAGTGTCGTGGGAATAACGTACTTGCTGCCGCAGGAGGAGCAGCCCTTGTGCCACCCAGCGGTAGAAAGGTAAGAAGAGTCACCTTGTGGAAGTCTGTGTATGGTGCGTGTGCTTCCAAGTGAGGCACTGTGTGACTCATGTGTAAGTGATAGGTGTTTGAAGTTCATTTAAAAGTGAAATCCTTAGTCTTTATTCATATTTAAGTATGGAGTGTTTTATGACCTTTTTTACAATCAGAAAAGCCATGGCGTTCTCAGGGAAGCATTTTACAGATAGATCACACTTCTGGATTTATCATGATTGTTTCCAGAGTCGCTTTCTATGCATGACTTTATCGCCCTGAAGCCCTGAAATGGTAACTTGTGGCTTAAAAGGTAAAGCTCATGTTCCACAGTATAGGACGTTTTTTTCAAAGATGATTTTTATTAATACATTCTAGGCATACATAATGTTCACGGTCATCAGAGGGAATTTGTACCCGTACATGATGTGAGTTGATTCCTTTTCCCCATTCCCTTCCTCTCCCTTTAGACCCCTTTCCCCTCCTTCTGTACAAAAGCTTTGTTTCTGTTTTTATTTTCTCATTTATTTTAGTTTTTCCTCTCCATTTGAATGTTCTCTTCCTATTTCACAGCACGTGTTACACATTTTGGTCCCTATATACACTTTCAGATTCTTGCACCAGAGAAACAGCAGGGTATTTACACATGTGTGTGTGTGTGATTTATTTCACTTAAGAGTATGTTCTCCAGGTATATCCATTCATCTAGAAATATCTCAAGCTTATCTTTATGGCAAACTGAGTTCCATTGTATAAAAAGACCCCACATTTTCTTTATTCGGGCTGTTTCCAAGCTTTGGCTGTTACAGACTGTCTGCTATAAACATATGTGGGCACATATCATTGTGGTCTAATGCTTCTATTTTGGGAGGATACCCAGGAGGGGAACAGCTGGATTGAATAGAACCTCTAGCCCTAGGGATTTTTGTTTTAAACGTATTTAGTGTAGGGTCTCCAGGGTCTCACTACATAGATCAGACTTGTAGTGATTCTCTGTTTGCAGCCTCCCAGGTGCTGGGATTATGGGCAGGCGCCACCACGCCCAGTTTCAGTCGTTGTCTCAGTGCATCCTGGGGGCAGGGCTGGCACGGCACTCCAGGGGGTTGAGCCCTGGCCACTGCACTCTGCCTACACAGGCGCTTTAGTCTGCTGAGCTATCTGGCTGGCCCAAATCCTAGTTTTTTGAGAATCTCCACACTGATTTCTGCTGAGGCTGCACCAGTTGCTCTCTTGCCACCAGTGGAGATGGGTTCTTTTCTCCCCACAGTACGGGAACTTTTTCAGTATGAACTTGGATGACTTCTCTTTCATCAGACTTTGCTCTTTCTTTCCCTCCTACCTTAAGCTTTCCACTCCATGGTGTCACTGTACTGTTTGAAAATCCATACTGTGTTATATGTGAGCCTTTGTATGTGTGGTTTCCTGGGTCCATAGTTCTTTTAAGCTTTTATAATACTGCTTCTCTGCCTGTAGGATTAGTTACTTCTCTTAGCTACGTCATTCTTTCTACATATTTTGATTATGTTTATGATGGGCTGTTCTGTTAATAAAATATAAATTACATGTTTTGGATGTATTAATTGGAAATTCATGTTTTTATTATATTTTTCAACACATTATAGTGTCTGGATTTCAAGATTTAAATAAAATATATAACATAGTTCTGTTTGAAAGCACTTATTTGAGTTTAGAGATGAGAATAGATTATAATTCAAAATATCGTATAACTGAAGAAAGCTGAAAGCAGTGATGTTTACCAAGTGCTGAAAGGTTTTCTCAGGAGAGGGTAGTGGCCAGCGCATGCGGGTGAATGTGTTGCTCTCATGGAGGAGGGAGGCATGGTGGAGGGTGATGTGGGCAGTGTCAGGCGTGGAGTGTGGAGCAGGTGGGGAGCGGGAGGGCAGGCTGTGGGTACGGAACCCAGCGGAACTTGGGAAGGCACTGAGGAGCGCCTGGGGGTGACTGCAGGTACTTCTAATGGGTGCCAGTTTTCTTCTGGCCTCCTTTTTTCTCTATCGAGTATCTTAATTTAAAAATTTTTCAGCCCACTTGTAAATTACTTACTAAATCCAACCATATAGTAGTCTCACTAAAAATGTTTTATTTTGGGGAATTGCGCAGAATTTTCAGTAATGACAGGATTCAAGGTAAGTCACATTGTGTTGATGGTAATGTGTGGCTTCCCTGTTCTATAGGGCATTAAAATCTTGTGGACCAGGTGGTACTGCTCATGTGAAATTAGTGGTGGAGTGGGACAAGGAGACAAAAGATTAGTGAGTATTTCGTTACTTAGTATTTATGCAGTCATTGTTTTATTAGTTTAGTAGCATGCTGTTCATCTGTCTCATCTTCCAAATTAGCTGGAACATAAATCTTCCATCTCTTTAGCTATGTTCATAGTCTGTTTAAAGCAGACTTCTCCTTTCCTATAGACTTTGTATCTGAAAGTCTTAGAGTATTTATCTGCTGCTCAGAAAAAAGTTACGTACTTCTTGTATATAGGTACAATTACTTTGTTTTTTTGTTACTGGCCTGTTAACTCTAGTAAGCTACATCAACTGTATGTCCTTATGTACAGTGGATTGATTCGATTTAGTCAGCAGTGTTCAGTGGTAATCCCAGAACCCTAACTCCAGGTCAGTCCTTAAGACAGCTTTGCCGATGGAGAACTTTCTAAGAACATTTGGGACCTGTGGAGGGCTGGGTGGCCACGTCTGCTTTCTACACCTTGCTCTCTCTGATCGCGAATTCACTGCTGCCTTGTCAAGCTGTGATTATGCTTTCGTCTCGTCCACAAGAACCTGCCTGATAGTGCTTTGTCCTCATGTAGCTTGTTCGTGAATACTGAGGACGAGTACATCCCTGACTCAGAGAGCGTCCGTCTGCAGAAGGAGCGTCACCATCAGCCTCAGACCTGCACTTTGTCCCAGTGTTTCCAACTCTACACCAAAGAGGAGCGGGTGAGAGGCGGGGCAGGGCAGGGCGTGCGAGGTGGCAGTGGGGAGCAGAAGCTGCTCCGGACGGCCCCAGGACTTCGGTCCGCATGGGTCGTACACATGCAGGCTGCGCAGTGCTGCTGGTGCTTTCAGGGCTTTAACAAAAAGTAATTGCGATTCTTGAGCCATTAGAATGCTCTAGAAATGAATCTTTGTCATTTTTTTTTAATGGTTGATTTCTTTTCTATCTATAAGTTTTAAATCCCTCTCCTTAGTGACAAAAACAAGTGTTTTCAGCTTAGTACCCATGTACCGAGAACTTAGGTGTGCGGACCCACTTAAATTTAATTAAAGTAACAAAAAGTTGCATGAGCCCATTTCAGGTTCAGTAGACAAGTGTGGCTTCTGTACTGAAGTGTGGAGATGGGATTTTGTAGGACAGCGGTGCTTTGGGCCTCGTAGCGCACAGGGCTTTGCAGGACTGGGGACTCAGTGTTGAAGTGAAAGCATGGACAGGTGGAGGGGCAGGGAAGCCCTCGCTGTGTGGCCACGGACCTGTGCTTGTGGTGTGCCTTAGGAAACGCCGGCGGAGCCCTTCAGTGCGCCTCTGGTACTGATGCTTAGTGTGGCGTGGCCCTGAGTCTTTAGTCTTCGCTCCTCACACGGGCAGTCGTACGCTTCAGGAGCAGAAGGCACTTGGAGCTGACTCCTAGCGTTGGCCCTGTAGTCTCGGCGGGCCACTGCTCGGCATCCCAGGGTGCTTGCCCACACCAGCATTTCTTTGCTGGCCTTGCTGGTGACTGAAATATGTCTCCTGGCCACCACTCTTGAGACAGCGCTCGCTCCCTCCCAAGTCTGTTCATAGCACAGCTCTTACTTTGCCTCTTCAAATATATGAAAATACTTTTCATAGTCTTAACTGAATCTTCTCACCTCCACGCTATTCATAGCTGTTCCCATTAATGGTAGCTTTTCATGAGCTGTGTTTTCTCATCTTGGGGCTTAATCATAAAGTAGCTGGTTTTGAAAGTGAGTACTGTGGACTGTGTGTGGCACCATGTTCTGTTTACCTCTTGGGCGACATATATGTGACTCTTGAGATGTTGGGGAAGAGCTAGCGGGGAGCAGCGCCCCTTGATAACAGCACTAGTGTGTTGCACTCATGGAGGAGAGCAGCACACATCTCACGGACCCAGAGTGACTAGCTGGTGCTAGCGAGGTCGTTTCTGGCAGGTTCACTTATTGAGGTGGAAGCAGAGTTGCCAGCGGGACGGAGCTTGCCATGTTGTGCAGCGGAGATGAGGCTGTGTAACTAGAGTGCCAGAGCAGGGAGGGCGACGACAGCATGCGCTCTCTGAGATCAGGAGTAGTTTTTCTCACTAAGTAACCCTGGTGTTCTAGAGCCGTGCTTGGCCACGGGCAGTGTCCACTAGCGTGTACCGCATCTGTGAGCGCACCTTGGGGAGTTCAATATTGGGCCCCACATAATGCTGCAAATAGGAGAGGAGGAGGAGGAAGGGCTTCGCTGGCCGCAGGCTGCATGACAGTGACTTCGGGGTACAACTGTGACCCTTCAGTGTTGACCAGCTGTACCGCAGGGCAGGGAGCCCTCGTCGTGCTGCCTGACAGAGGCCTTGGAGACAGTGCCTCAGCTCTGATAGGGACAGCGCTGCTCTTTTAATTGCTGTAAGTATTTCCTGTAAGCGTTGGCCACCTGGGACAGTCTCTGATGTGCACTGAGTGGGGTGCCTGGGAGTCAGGATGACTAGTGTGACTTGCCAGAGGAGGCTGTAAGGGGATCTAATAGCTAATTTCAAGCCCTTGAAGAATTGTATGTTAACAAAAGACTGAACTTAATTTTCCATAAAAAGGTAGAATCTAAAGATTGCAAATAACAAGAGAGTGGTTTTTGTCTTAAACGTGAAAGGCCTTTGTGGCAAACCATCAGAAAATGGGTCACTGTCTGCTGAGCTGGTTCCCTTCCTGGGGAGGTAGAATCAGTTTTGGGCCCAAATAACAGTGTAAATCTAGAAAAGGAGGAGTGGAGGTGTTCGGAGTGTGCCCTCAGGTCTTGGAGCTTTCAGTGCACACAGTGAGATCAGTGGATACCTGGGAAGCATCTGAGGCACTTTCCAAGCAGTTAGACGTCGCCACAGTGTTCTTGCCGTATTTTATGAAGGTACCTGTGGGGAACGTGTTAAAACCTGCTCTGTACAGCACGAACGTTGGACTGGGTGGTTGTGTAAGGGAGTTTATACATTGCACAGGGATACGGGCGTACGAGGTGGCAATTTGGCTTCAGTCCTCCTGATTTACCTGTCTACCCAAACTTCTGTCTCTCCCCACCTTCCTTGCAAACAAGACTAGGCCCCTTGTCATGAAAACAAAGTTCTCTTAGTTTTGCTTTTCTTTCGCTTTAGATCCAGTCTCTCTCCTCTTTGGTTCTGCCCACTCCCTCAGCCCCACGCCCAGCCTCTTGTCATCTCTGGTTTGCACTGTTAAACTGGTCGCTGCAATTCTTGCTGGCCTCTCCTCAGGCTGCATTTGATCTCTGCAGTGGATGCAGTGCCAGTGACCTCATTACTGCTCTTTTTTCCTTGCGCATGCAAGTCTTATAACTCGCCTGCTGTTCTGACTCCATGTGGAGACTCTGGAGGCTCTGAGTTTTGGAATTTCCCTTAAAAAGACATCCCACAATCTGTCCCCGGCTCCTTCCCACTTCAGCGGGAATTGTCCTGCATTCCCATGGCTTCCTTTCCCTCATTGTATTGATGATGCCAGGTCTGGTGTATCTTCTGAGGACAGAATGAATTTTTCATGTATTAGCACCTCAGTACATCCTCATCCTCAACTTGCCCCTGCTGAGGTGACGTAAGTGGATTTCAGGGCCTTAGGTTGATGTTCAGAAAGGCTTTGCTGTAGCAGCAGGGGAGCGTTGTTGGGAAAGTTCAGGGCTTGGAGGAGAAGACAGAACTGATGAAGTCCAGGCGAGAGGATGAGTGAGGACTTGGCGTGGGGGTGGTGTGAGTGGGTGTGAGACGAGGAGGCAGGCACAGAAAGAGCAGGGAGAGTTACTTGGTTGAAGTGGAGCAAGAGAGGGGAGTTGGAATTTGGCATGATTCTGTGTCTTGCCTTTGGTGGGCAGCGTTATAGTATTTTCTGAGATTGGATGGACAGATGACAGCAGAGGGAAGGTCTCTGTTGCTGGGAGGACGTTGAGCTGAGTTGGGAGTGTGCTGATGCGGGGTGCTTCTGTGACGCCTGACAGCCTCTCTAGTATTTCCACTTTAGTTGTTCCTCTCTGAAGGACAATCTGGAGAGCGCACATCAGGTGCAGACTCTTCTTAAGTGCCGCTTGTGATTGCGCTTGGTGTTCCTTTGGTTTTCCTGGGGTGGTTTCCAGAGAGGTTCTGCGTTGCCCCCTGACCTGGACGAGGAGTTAGTCCGTCTGTCTCTCCAGGTCTTGCATGAAGCAGTGCATAACAGAAGTCATGCTCCTTGTTTCCAGCTCGCCCCAGACGACGCCTGGCGGTGCCCACACTGTAAGCAGCTGCAGCAGGGGAGCATTACGTTAAGCCTGTGGACGCTGCCGGATGTGCTCATCATACACCTCAAGAGATTCCGCCAGGTGAGGAAGCCCCTTGTCCAGCGAGTTTTCTGTGCCCACTCCTGGGAGCATGTGGGCTCTTTGGTATCCCTGTTTGACACACACTTGCCCATAGTTGGGGATGTGGCTTTTCTTTCCTGAAGCAAAATTTGAGCATTCTGTGGCCCTTTAAGTCCTAAGCATTTGAGTTATATTGCAGCTATCTTCCTGTCTTGAGGGCTTACGTTAGACTAGTAAGTGCTTTGTCTGAACTTTGGTATGTTTACTTTGGCATTAAGAAAAAAGTGGAGATCCTTTGTGGGGGAGACAGGGTCCTATTTCTGCCTAGTGTAACAATGACCGGCATCCTGGTTGGGGGAGCTGTCGTGTCGTTGAGGAGATGCGTCATAGGTACAGACAGAGAAGACGCTCTTCTTCAGCATGTATCAGTTTTTCAAAAAGCCTGTCTATTCCCTGGGATCATGGTTCTCTTAGCCTTGCTAGAGGCAAACAGAGGTGGGCCGCATCTGTAGGCCTGGCTTTGAGAATGTCTGGGAGAGAGGACCAGGCGTTCTCCAGGTAGGTGGAGCCTGGATGCTCGCTCGCAGCGGCACCGCAGCAGCATCTGCAGGGTCTGGGTCTGGAGGAGTACAGCACCTGCAGAGCTGAAAGCAGGGGCAGACGAGCTGGGTGCCCCAAGGGTGGGACGCTGCTGCAGCTGGGCTGTTTTTGGAAGGGTCATTCTGGCTCTTGCCAGACTGACGCGAGACTGAGAATGAAGCCAGGAAGAGCTGGAGAGGCCAGGCAGGCTTCTGGGGAGGCTACTACTGCTCGGGGTGGAGAGATAGGAATCAGCTTGGGACAGGCACAGGAGCTCTGGAGGCAGAGGTGGCAAGCAACACGCGGGCCCCAGGGATCATTGCTTCTGTGTAGTGTTCCGCATACTTTCCCCTCAGCTCTGCGGGGGGAAGCTGGCTGAGGGCTGGGTGCAGCCTGCTGGCTCATTCCACGTGGACGGGTCTCCCTTGCTCTTGGTGTCTTCTGAAGGCATGTCCTTCCCTTACAGGAACTCAGACCTGAGCCACGTCTCTGACTCCTCTTCCGTATCCTTCTTGTCCTGGTAGACCCTTGCAGCTTGGCTGTGGCTCCTTTGAGTCTTTCTGTTCATTCCTGCAGTTCCCTGCCACTTGAGACTTGTTTTTTTTCTAGCTGGTCGCAATTGCAGTGTCTTTTAAATCGATGTGCTTACCTCCTCTGTCAATGCCTCAGTGCCTCCCCCTTCACCACAGAATAAGGTCTCCAGCCTAGCCTTCCTGAGCAGTTAGAGCCCTTTCTCTATATTTCATGATGTTTCTCTGCCCTTGATGGAGCCATAGCTCCTGGGATGTCATCTGTGTCTGGCTCACTTTGTGAAGCTTCTGCTGACTCAAGACATGTAGTAAGTGCCCAATCAGCTTAATGGTTGGATTTCAAAGGATTTTCCTGTGCACTTAAAAGAAAACACACATTACTCAAGATCGCCAGTTAAATGAGTGTGTTAAGCTCAGTCAGTGTGACTTTGTGATGTCTTTGTTGGAGGAGGGAGGAGACGGTCACCGCTCCTGGAGCACTCCTCTGGGGCAGCCACTGGGAGATGTGTCCTTCGTGTAGTTACCACTCCACCAGTGTTCCCGCCTCTCTGATGGAGGGTTAAGTTAGATGCCTGAAAGCTCTTACCAGGTAAGGAAATGCGCGCTCAGAGAGCTTCGTTTACATTCTGTGTGTAGATTCTTACTGGTGCCATTGTAGTTGTGTTAAAACCTGTTCCACTAGACCAGTGGTGGTGAACCTGAGGCACGCTTGCTGCAGCGGGCCATTCGTGTCACTGGACGCGCTAAAAGGTTTGCCATCACTGGTCGCGACAGTTAGAGCTCTTGGTCTGTGTCTTGGGAAATGTTAGCTGGGCAACTTGGACCGCTGTAGCAGGTAGCGTCACATTTTACACTGAGCTGATCCGCCATCTGTTTGCATTAAGATATCATCAGAACTTGTTTTTCTCCTGGTGACAGGAAGGAGACAAGCGCATGAAACTTCAGAACATGGTCAAGTTCCCCTTGACCGGCCTGGACATGACCCCTCATGTGGTTAAGAGAAGCCAGAGCAGCTGGAGCTTGCCATCCCACTGGTCCCCATGGAGACGGCCCTACGGACTCGGGAGAGACCCTGAGGACTACATCTATGACCTGTATGCTGTGTGCAATCACCATGGCACCATGCAAGGGGGGCACTACACAGGTCTGCAGCGTGCGCGCCACGTGTCTGTGCTGGCATCCTACAGGCGGGCTGGCTTGGATAGGGTCGCTTGGCCTCAGGACCTCCCCGTCCCTGCCGCTGTGCTGCTGTGAGGGCAGCTCGTCCTCGAGGTCTCTATCCAAGAGCGAGTGTGTCACAAGCCTTCCTCTTGGTCCCGAGTTGGGTCACTTAGTAGTTATCATAGTGTACATGTGGACAGTGCTGTCCGGTCAACTGGGGATTCACTGGTTGCCCCGTTTGCACTGCACTCCACGTCAGGGTTTTGCTTTGTTCTTTGATACTCCACCTGCTCCCTTACTGAGAGTAGCTCTCAGCCACTTTTGATAATGTCTGTTCTTTTTGTTCTAAGAATAAACTTACTTTTTTGTTTACAGAAGCAGCTCTGCTTGTCATATAACTTGTAGAGACTAGAGAAAGGTGGCTTAGCACTTGGGGATAACCGTGCTGAGATTCGAAACAGTTGTGATAACGTACACAGGAGAGAATGGCCGTGGTAGCCGTGTCGGGCGTACAGCTCAGCGGCACTAGCGCGCTCCCGTTAGTGCACAGCTGTCATCGTTGCACATCTCAGAGCTGTTTTCATCTGCTCAAACTGGAGCTCTGTCCCAGTGACGGCAAGCCTGTTAGCGCTTTCAGTGGCGCAAGCAGCCTGCCACGGCGCGTGTGCCACGGGCTCACCACCACTGTGTACCGCTGAAGGAGAGCCACTGTGCTCTTTGTCTGTGTGGATCGGAGTAGCAGCCTCCTGTAAGTGGAATCCACGGTGTCTTCATGACTAGTGTACTTCACTTAGGGTAGTGTCTTTGAGGTTCATCCGTGTAGTGTGTATCAAAATTTTCTTTTCTAAGGCTGAGTAAGTTTGCATTGTATCTCAGTAAGACTTTGCCTATATACTCCCAGTGTTTTCTGGGAGTTGTCGCTGTTACTTTACTGTTGTGGTTATTCAGGGGGCATTTAAGCACCTTGCATTTGGCTTGGCAGTGACCTCTGTCACATTAGAGATAAATAGGTCTGGGGTTTTTTTGGTGGACCGGGGATTGAACTCAGGCACTTGCACTTGCCAGGCAAGCGCTTATTCTGCTGAGCTGTCTCCCTGGCCCCAGAGATAGATAGGTCTTAACCTCTCTTCAGGACTGTACTCAATTAGTGGGAGACAAGTAAACTTGCAGCACTGTGCGGTAGGTTCTGTGGTGGAAGTCTGAGCAGTGGGCAGAGGCAGGAGTGTCACAGAGGAACAGCCTGTCCCATGGTGGCCCTACAGGAAAGTGCTGCCTGGTGCTGTTACAGCTGTCCTGGTGTGTGTCACTGTGCTCTGGGATATTCAGATGATGAGATTGCTTGACACCCCACATTTCATACCTGTCCCTCTGACACCAATGACTATCTTCGTGCACACTCAGTTTTTCCAAATTTCAGTTCTGCATTTCCTCGAGAGTCTTGGAAATGAAATTGTTGGGTTAAGGGCATACATAAACCACTTGAAGGGCAGGCATACTTTGGGGCTTCTTCCTGGCTGTCTGTTCACATGAGGGCTGACGTGAGGGTGATCCTGTTACTTGGGTTTACCCATGTGGGCAAGCAGGACTGATTCCTGCACCCTTTATACTCAGTGTCTTTCCCAGAGCACTTCTCAGGAATGTTATTTTTTTCTCAAGTCTGTGGTTTCTGTAACAAGACCTAGCACATTAGTACTGACCATGTATTTACAAAAGTAAGGGGAGGTAACTAGCCATGGGACCCAGGGACACCCCTGCCCGCCGGTCACCCAGGGAGAGGGGTCTTCCACCTTCCCAGCCCCTGCTGATGCTCTTTCAGCGTGTTCTCTCTGCCCTCCCAGGACAGGTCAGGAAGATGACTAGACGCCTGTCTTACGCTTAAAAATCCATTTGGCTCAATCTCTGAATATTTAGATGATGTTGGCAGCACTTGTTTGTAAGAGAAATGACCCCAGCTTTCCCGTGTGCCACAGTGGAGCAGCCTGGACTGCCTGTTCTTGCCCCAGAGAGCGCTTACGAGGAGAAACGGAAGGTAGTGCAGTTCCAGAGCTGCCCCAGCTTCACAGAAGACTACATATCCATTATACCCAGATGCATCTTACTTTGTACTCTGGCTTAAGCCCATTTGAGTTATGGCATTGTATTTGGTGCCTTGCGTGTTTTATGTCTGTATTTTGTGGGGATACTTCTATAAAATTTCTGCTGTTTGGATTTTTGCTTTTGTGTCATTACTAGTAATATTTATGTTTTCTGATAGTGAGTCATGGAATTAGTATGCTCATAGTCTCTTGGAATGGAAGAAGGCTTAAGATAATTTAATTTATTTGATTATCTGTGTCTGTTGCCAGCATTTGTGACCAGTATTCATCCAGAGTAGGCTTTGTTAAAGGTGCCACTTGTGGACTGGCTTCTGGTGTGCTTTAGAGCAAGAACTCTTGGGGAAGAGCAGGCCAGCGCTAGGACTGAGCATAACCTCTTGCTCTTCACTGAGGACAGTCTGGGAAAAGCCCACAAGCCTCAAGGGCAGCCAGCCGTGGCGCCGGCTCTGTGGCTCGGCCGCTAGCGAGGGTGCCTGCCATTTTGGTAAGCAGGGGTGAGCGTGGCTGCCTCGCGTCCCTCCCCTAGGAGCGACTCAGATAGTGTCTTGGTATGTTCCTTTCCTGTACTTAGGCCACACTCTGGTTATCTGGTGTAGGACATGGTTTTTCCCCCCGTATTTAGGGCAGGGATTACAGGATGTTCAGGGTCTCACTACGTGGATCAGCCTCCCAAAGAGCTGAGATTACAGGCGTGCGCCACCACGCCCAGTCTCAGTTGCCCTCTCAGCGTGCCCCACAGGCAGAGCCTGCGTGGCAGGTGGGGATCAGACCCAGCTGCTGTGCTCTGCTGAAGTAGGCACTTCAGTGCACTGAGCTCTAGTGCGCTGGCATATAAAATGTCTAGAGAACACCTGAGATGCCCTCAGCGTTGGTGAATGAAAAATGCTGTGTTTTTCACTTTTCATTTGTAACGTCTGTTCTGATGTGTTATTCTGCAGTAGTTCTAGCTGTAGTTATGTGATACGGCTGACTTGTGCAAAGATTTTAGAATAGTGCTTGTTGAACTGTGATGAAGACTTTCTTCTACTTACAGTTTTCTAACCCTTTATGAACCAGTCCTTTTGTACAAACACAGTAACAGCATTAGAGCAGTATCAGGTAAAAGCTTTTGAGTGCTTATCTCTGGTTTTGGTGCCGCTCTTGTAGACAAATGCCAGCCACTGATCCACAGTTCAAGTGGCACTGGCCTAGAAGACACGTCAGAAGATGGTGCTGGGAGGAAGCGAGTAGGGCTTCTTTTTAATAAATAGATTATTTAGTATTGTGCTGCCTTAGTTTCCATCCGCGTCTGAGAACAGACTGTCCTTAAGGGAAGCAGACTGCAGCCAGAGCTGGGCAAGGGTGTCCTTGTCCCGGGCCTGTTCCCCTGTGGTCGTGCTCCTGCTCGCCACTCCGGAATAGGAGCTACCTCTCAGTCGGGTCACGTACGCCTCCAGCCTGACCTGACCTGACCTGACCTGACCTGACCGTGGCCGAGCAGCACTTAGCTCTGTGCGCGGTGTGTGTCTCCACTTCTCCCCAGCTCTGCTTCTGGTGGGTGCTTGGCTGCAGACCGCATTCTGCCTGTGCTCACGGGCTCTCTCCCTGCTCCCTCTTGGGCCCCGTTAGGTCTGGTGACCCCTGCTTGTCTGGGGCCCGTTCACCTCTTCTGGTTGTCTGCTTGCTGAAGTGGTGTGGTTAGGGGAGGGACTCCCTTCTGGCCCCTTTCAGGCCCTCCTCTGTGGGGCCGCACTGATTCTGTATCGCCTGGCATTCAGCTAGGTATTCTCACACAGTTGATCTCACTCCAGTAAATGGATATATTTAGAAAACCTGATGATAATGTGCCTCTTTGGATCAAGCGTGTAAGACTCACTTGCGAATCCCTACAGGGCGGCTTGGCTCCATGAACTCTTAAACTTGCATTGGTGGGAAAGCTGTGTCGGAGATTAAACCCAGGGCCGGCCTCTCTCTGTGCCGAGTCCACGCCTCCAGCCCCAAACTCTAAGCTTTTGTTGGTACTTGAATGTTCTATTTCTCTATCAGGCTTAGAGTTTGAACTGGAGAGAAAGCTCTCTGCGTGCATTAGCGTGTATGTTCTTGATTTGCATTGTGTGAGTTACCTGCTGAGGGAAGAGGGCCGAGCAGGGGCTTCAGTGGAAGCTCAGGGTCAGAGGCTGGCCGTGAGCTGGGCGCTGCCCCTCACCAGCTGTGTGACCACGGCCTGCAGGGGGTGTGTCTTTGGACTCTGTAAATTAAGAATAATAAGAAAACAAATATTAGAACCAAAATGGCATATGACATGTTAAAAGGAGGTTAGAGCTGGGTTATTAATATTATTTCTATCTGTATTAATTTGTGTCTTTAGTATTAAACACTAGGATGTTAAATGCCTAGTTGAGGTTTTTCTCTTTGGCACTGTGGAGATTTTGACTGTCTAATTCTGTGCCATTCTGCGCAGTGTAAAACGTTTAGCAAATCCCTGCCCCACCAGCGAGGTGCTGGAGACGTGCTGCCCTCCGCCTGTGTCTGTTCAGATGTCCCCTTCATTGCCGAATGCCCTACAGGGCAGAATGGGCGTGGTGGAGACCCAGGCCTTTGAAATAGAAATGTGTCCACGTGGAATAATTTGGAGTTTCTCAAAATGTTTTGCCCAAGGTGATACGGAATTGGGACTTTTTTATCCTCCATGTTATTATGTACCGGCTTATACTTCTAGAATTAATTCTGTTAGCCCAAGAGATGGTGGCGGTGGGTGAAGGGGAAAGGTGGTGTGGCACCCCCAGGCACTAACCGTGGGCTCCTCTTGGCAGCTTACTGTAAGAACTCCGTGGACGGCCTGTGGTATTGCTTTGATGACAGTGATGTGCAGCAGCTGTCAGAGGATGAAGTGTGCACACAGACAGCCTACATCCTCTTCTACCAGAGGCGGACGGCCATCCCGTCGTGGTCAGCCAACAGCTCGGTGGCAGGTGAGATGGCCCCTGCTCTTGGTCCGCTCTTTCCAGAGCAGGAGGTTGTACTTCACAGGCCAGGGATCTCAGAAGGCTTCATGACTGTAGGTTGATTAGATTAATTCTCATGTATGCTCGTAGCCTCGGATGTGAGGGTGAGCTGCAAGGCACTGGTGGCTGGCAGGGGCCGCGCAGGGACAGGCCCAGAGCTTGTGTTCCCTGCGGGACGAGCGCCCGAGTGAGCGGGGTCGCAGCCTGGCCTGCTGCTCTGAAGCCTCTGCTGCGGTTACTGTGGTGCACACTCTGTCTAAGCCACGTGATCGTCATTGCTAATGTGTGACCGGAACACCTGCCTTGTGGGCTGTGGCACGCACTGATTAGGTGACAGTATGTGGAAAACCTTTTGTAAGAGGGAAAACCATAATAAGTAGTCTTTTTCCAATTCAAAAGTTGGCCTGTTTTGTTGGGGGGGTGAGGGTTGTAATATTAGATGGCTGTGTGTAGTCTCATCGTATCTAGCCAGTCATACTAATAAACACAGCAGTGAAATAAGGGGCGTGGCTCCTGGTTCCGAGTTTGACTGTAAGGGGACATGGCAGAGGACTGTCACGTGGGAGAGTGTCAACAGCATAAGCCAGACAACGGTGGCACTTCCCCTTCCTGAGCCTGTGAAGGCTAAGGCTCAAGCAGCTGAAGGAAGCGCTCCTCAGTGACAGGACCGCCTGCTGAGCCAGACCCCCCCAGTGTGTGCTGCTGAGAAGGTGGCGGCCTCCTGCTTCGCTTCTCAGAGTTGTGCTCAGAAATGACGCACTGTCGTGGTGTACTTGAGACAGTGCTACTTGAAACTCATCAATTTTGAGAGCGTTTTCTGTTGCCCTCATTCATATTTGAGGGCGTCCCCCAACACAGATTGACACTTAGCTGTGTACGTGTGCGTGTTATTAGTATCATGAAAGGTCGCACACTTCCATAAAGGGTGAGTGGTGAGCCCAGTGGTAGCGGGCTTAGCCACACGTGAGCTTGGCAGGCCTTGGTTCCGTTTCTAGCACCGTCCTGCCCCCTTCTCCTGAATTCCATTGGGCGGCGCAGCTGAGAAGAAATGCAGCACGCCATTGCTTGTTCTTGCCAAGCCGCAGACCCGAGTGTGAGTGCACAGGGCAGGGCCCGCCTGGCCTGGAGCTGGCAGTGTTTGCAGGAGAGGTGGATGCTGAGGGACTGCCTGCAGTCCGTTTTTTGCGGACTCCTGAGATGCAAACATGGCGTTCTGAGGTGCTTCTCCCTGTCCCTGCATTTATTAGCCCTTGTGTAGTAAATCTCGTGTGGATGCTGCCTTCCATGTCCTCATCTTGTGTTTGGCGCTGGGAGTGTAAGTCAGCCTTGGGCAAGGACATCGGTACCCCCAGCTCTGCTGCAATACCTTGCAAGGGTCTGTGCGGCGGTGTGCCTGTGGGACCCTGGCTGACACAGTGCCACCTCCTTTTCTGCAGGCTCCACAAGTTCATCCCTGTGTGAGCACTGGGTGAGTCGGCTCCCGGGGAGCAAGCAAGCTAGCGTGACCTCCGCAGCCTCTTCCAGACGCACCTCGCTGGCCTCGCTCTCGGAGTCTGTGGAGATGACCGGGGAGAGAAGTGAAGATGATGGTGGGTGTGGCTCTTGGCAGCGAACCCCCAGGGCAACCGCTGGGCAGGGCACAGGGTCCCGCAGACTTGTGGGCAGAGTCATTAGGGGTTGTAGGGGACTGAAAGGGGACGCAGCACACAGCAAGGGGGCCACGTAGCTGTGGGTCATGGCTATGAGCATAAACAGAGTTGTTGACTTTCCCCTGCGGTCCAGGACTTGTTACTGCTTTTTTTTTCCACTCTGATAAACTAGTGTGCAGAGACTTGAGCTTTAACTCTGTATTATAATACACACATTTAAAATTTTTTTATCATTTATTTATTTATGTGGTGTAGGTTCTCATAGTAGTTATCCTCTTGTCTCAGCCTCCCCAGCCTGGGATTACAGGCGTTCACCATCATGCCCATTCTCAGTGGTCAGTGTGGCACACCCAGGTCTGGGGCTGGGACGGCATGCGGTGGCACAGATCAGACCTGCATCCTTGTGCTTGCCAGGCAGGCACTTAGACCTCCAAGCTATCTGCCCAACTCCAAGCTCACATTTTTTGTCCAGAGTGTTTTTTAAAACCCTCTGAATGGCTCCAAAGGCTTAGCGAAGCTGTGCCCTACCCAGGGCTGCCTGTTTCCATGATGGCGCCAGCTTCAGGCTTCTGATTCTGAACATAGCTAGAGTAGAAAACCTGCCAAAATTGAATAAAAATTGAACTCTGGGCTTTTTAAAGAAAGACCTCCCCTTGCTGCTAGAGTAGTGGCAGAATGGACCTTAGAACGCACAGGAACCCCTGGTGGTGTGGGCAGGAGCAGGCAGCTAGTGCCAAGTGCCGCAGGGAGCGAGAGGGAGCCCAGCTTCCGTGAGGAGGATGGCGGCTCTTCCTCCATGGAGGTGCACTGAGGCCAGCGGTTGGATAACGTGAGAAAATGAAGTGAGGCTAAAACCCTGGCTCTGCCTCCTCTCTGGTTTGTTGCTTTATTTACAAAATAAGATTATGAGGATCTAATGGCTGGCCTTCTGCAGCTTCTAACATTTTAGCTTAAGCCAAACAGTGAACCTTTGCATGTTTAGGCAGAGGTTGTCTTTAGCACAGCCTGTAAACTTAGAATTCACTGTCAACAGTAAGCTTAGATTTGATTTGCCTCAGTCTGCTTTTACACACTACAGTTGGTGAAATCAGTATCCTCCCAAGCATCACATTGTGGAATGGTGTGGGATGGTACCCACAGGACAGAGCCTGGCTCTTAGGGGTTTGTAGAGACAGAGTTTCCCAAAGGCCTCCGCTGGAGTACCAAGCGCGCAGTGTTCACCTGAGAATTTTTTTTTTTTTGTGGAAGTTTTAAACTGCTGCAAATACAAGTACCCTGTATTGTTCTAGTTAGGAGTATCTCGCTGGCAATTGTAGGTCCTCAGGGTAGGCGTAACTGCATCCAAGTCTGTAGTTGCTCCAAGTGACACACTTCGATAGCTGCCTGTTACGAACTACTTTACATGCGGCACCGAGGAGGCCACAGGGTGGTGGGCTCTGACACTAGCCCTTCCTGCAGTGACTGGTGTGTCCTGGCACGTACTTCCTTCTGTAAGGCCCAGGTACCATTCAGGACCGTGGAGGAGCTGAGCTAGCACTTGGCATTCAGGGAGAATCTGTGGAGGGGTGGGCACAGGACTTCTAAGATCTTACTTAATTATCAGACCGCACCAGTTGTTGGCGAGCTGCAGTCCAGGGCCAGATGTGGCCCACACCCTTTCTCTGCTAGGAAAGTTTCTGGAGCACACACACACCTGTTCTTGTCACCTGGGGCCACTTTTGTGCCTTTGTGACAGAGTCGGTGGGCTTGCCTGCAAACCTGACACATCTGCTCTCTGGCCTTCACACAGAGAGTGTGCTGACCTCTGCTGTAGGACCCGGAGGCCTAGGATGGCCTCTTCAGAGATATGGGGACTGGGCTCTGAAAGGCTGAAATCACAAGGCTGACCTTACCTCCAGACAGGCTGGCTTTGAAGGCCATGTTCTTACCATTCCGTGAGCCTTACCTTTGCTTTATATTCAGTATCTTAAGATGTGACTGGAATGTTTTCATTGGCTTAGCTTAACAGAATTCTCTTTGCTGCGTTCAGGAGGCTTTTCAACTCGACCATTTGTGAGAAGCGTCCAGCGTCAGAGCCTGTCATCTCGATCCTCTGTCACCAGCCCTTTGGCCATCAATGAAAATTGCATGAGACCGTCTTGGTCCCTGTCTGCTAAGCTGCAGTTGCGTTCCAGTTCTCCTTCCCGATTCCCAGGGGACTCTCCCCTTCACAGCTCCGCCTCCACCTTGGAGAAGATTGGGGAGGCAGTAGATGACAAGGTCTCCATCTCCTGCTTTGGAAGTTTGAGGAATCTTTCTAGTAGCTACCAGGAACCAAGCAGTACTCACAGTCGACGTGACCGCAGGGCTGTGGGCCGGGCCCCGTTGGCTGTCATGGAAGGTGTGCTCAGAGATGAGTCTGACAGCCGCAGATTGAACTCCAGTGTTGTGGATACACAGAACAAAAACGTAGCACAAGGGGATCACTTACCTCCGGTCTCTGATCCATTTGATAACAATAATCAGATTGCTTACGTGGATCAGAGTGACTCTGTGGACAGCTCTCCAGTCAAAGAGGTGAAGCCCCCGAGCCACACAGGCTCACTCACAAAGAAGCCAGAGAGCACAGCCAAGCGATCTCCCAGTTCCAAAGGCGCTTCTGAGCCAGACAAAAGCTTGCGGAAGGGGAGGCCAACCTTGGCCAGCCAGGACTCATCTCTTTCAAGTACATCCCCTTCTTCTCCTGTTCCCGTGAAAGTCTCTCTAAAGCATTCCCGCTCTCGAAGCAAAGCAGATTCATCTTCCAGGGCCAGTGGCAGGCATTCATCCCCTGCCCCTGGCCAGCCCAGGAAGGAGGCATCCCCCAAGTCCCAGGACTCAGTGTCATCTCCTTCACCACAGAAGCAGAAGTCAGCTTCTGTCCTCACTCACACTACTTCTACGTCTGCCAAAAAAGCCTCGGGCCCTGCCACCAGGGGCCCCTTCCCTCCTGGGAAGAGCAGGACTTCAGATCGGACCTTGAGTAGAGAGGGCTCCAGACAGAGCCTGGGTTCTGATAGAGCCAGCCTTACATCCACCTCTAAACCCAGCTCCCCTCGGGTGAGCCAGGCCCGAGTGGGGGAGGGCAAGGGCGACGGCAAGCACGTGCGGAGCTCCTCCATGGCCAGCCTGCGCTCCCCCAGCACCACTGTGCGGTCCGGGCTGAAGAGGGATAGCAAATCTGAGGACAAGGGGCTGTCTTTCTTCAAGTCCGCCTTGAGACAGAAGGAAACCCGGCGGTCGACTGACCTTGGCAAGACGTCCTTACTCTCTAAAAAGGCCGGTGGAAGCTCTGTCAAGTCAGTTGGTAAGAACGTGGTGGATGACAAGGCAGAGAAAGGCTTCCAGCCTCCAGGCTCCCAGCAGCCAAGTGCCAACCCAGCTGGAAAGGAGCCTGTCTGCAAGGACCCTGCCTCTGCTAAACATTCCCTGCTGTCTGCCCGAAAATCCAAGTCTTCCCAGCTAGATTCTGCAGTTCCTGCATCTCCCAGTGGCAGGCAGTCTGCTGAGAAAGCCTCCAAAAAGTTACCTGCTAGCATGCAAACCTCTGCACGGCCTTCTCAGAGACCTCAGTGATATTCCTGCAATCCAAGTGTTCTGTCTGTAAAGATGTTTATTTATTTAGAAGCTCCCCCTCCCACCAAAGCCCTTTATTCTTTTGTTTTGTAATTTTTGGGTTATCTGCCTGACTGTGCCTGCGTGCGTGTGTGTGTGTGTGCGTGTGTGTGTGTGTGAACAATTTAATTGCAAACTGTTAAAAGTGTCGCCTTACTCTGTCATTGAACCAAATAACAGCCATAGGCAAAGCATCTAGAACAAGCTAACCAGAATAATTATAGATGATACCCTGGACATACCCTTTAGCAAATGTACATATTTCTTTCTAGAGAACTCTTAATGACTTTCATTGGACACTAGGGTTTTGAACCTGTGAACCAGGTAAGCTATCATCAGTGTAGAGGCTTTGACTTAGGTTTCATTTGAGCAGGATTTGGCCTCACTGGAATTTTCGAGTGATGACACCAGGAGCTTTAAAAACTGATGCTAATATTTAGAGGGAAAAACTTGCTTTCTGCACTTTCGTCCCCCATCTACCAGTCTTTGTAAAGGGCAATATTTTAACACTAATGTTTCTCAGGTATATATATACTCAGCTAGTCTAGTGCATCAGTAAATGGATTAAAGAAGGTGACACGCGGGTGACTGTCATTTCTTATACTGCCACAGGTGAGAGGTTTCCGAGGTAGTTAAAAATCTTTCGCTACCTTCCTGTCTGCAGAAGTGTGCACACCCTAGCCTGTCTTGGCACTTGGGCTGTGTCCTAAGGTGGCAGACTGGATAAGCAGAGAGCCGTCACTAGGCACACTGCTTCGCTTCTGTATTGGCTCGCTAAGGCCACTGGGATTTGAGCTGTAGCAGAGCAGTTAACACCTTTGAAAGATACCTGGAAAGAAATGTGCTGTAAGCTGGACGTACGCACCGACACATTCTCCTCCTCTGCTGTGCTTTTCCTTGGTAGGAGTTGAAGGCTCCATGCTGCACCTTGCCTACGTGCTTGTTTCCTCATCTTATAATTTGGAAAGAAACCGCCTCCTGCTGAGAGTCAGTGGCGTGCCGAAGTGACATACGGCAGTATGTTCAGATGCACTTGAGGTCCTGCCTGCCAGTCCTTGCGAAGGCTGCCTTTCAGTAATTCGTCTATATCTTCCTTGTGCTGAGGATTTAATTTCTTACCAAGAACTTGCAAGCAGGATTTGGAGACTGTTCCATCTGGCATTGTCAGTACAAATTGCATTTCTTTTACAGAAAAAGGGGATCCTCACAGAAATATCAGATAAGTAGTCTGTACTCAAAGCTCTCTGAAGCTTTGGGGAGGCCTGCAAATGATTTCCTGCTCAAGTTCTACTTTTCTCTTTTTTTTTTTTTTTTTTTTTAACTATTAAGAGAGTCACAGTCCTGACTGTCCTTGAACAGCATATGTCACTTTGCCACAAGATGTAGTGTGCCAAGTTTGTGTGCTTTACTTTGTTTGGATCATAAACAGTTGAAATTTTTCTGGACTCTGGGTGCACCGATCCATTTATCATCATGCTTTATGTGCTGGGTGTGAAGTAATCGCGAAGCATAAGCAAGCGGCGGCGTGGATTCTGCACTGCCTTTTCCTCTCTCTCCTTTTCTATGAGTATCTCTTGGGAAATATTTCCAGTGGGCTATTGTAACTTCATGTTGCTGCTACTCTGAGCATTAGCTGGTGCCTTCCAGGTTTGGAGGTCACGTATGCTGAGGGTGGCCGACAGCAGTTAGCACTGACACGCTCGGTCTCATAAAGGTCGCGTATTGCTCCATGTCATTTGCCGGGTGCAGCCCATTGCACCTGCCCTCTGCCTCGCCGCCTTGTGGGTTTGCTCGTCCAGATTCTGAGGGCTTTCCAGAGCGGCTGTGTGCTGCACCGAGCGGTTGCTGTCGGCGCTGGCTGCCTCCGTGCTGCGTCGCTTCCGTGGCGCCAGCAGCCCCTCGACCGCCTTGGCTGGCTTTGTTTCCTGAGAAGGGTGCACCCAGCTAGGGACCATCACTACCGGGAACCGGGTGTGTGTCACGTTCGCATCCCTCATCCTTGTTTAGCAGATGGGTCTCCTTTGAAATGTCTTAGGTGTGGCTGACACAGTCTTATTAGAGTAATAGTTTGATAATAGCCAGAGGGTTTTAATAACCCATTTTTTTGCCCTAATCAGTTAAGCATTAGTAGAAACTAGTTTTATTTTCACAGTGATAAATATCTTTATTCTGAAGTCCTGTAGGAATAGAATTTCCATTATGTATAATGTCTTTTTTAAAAACTCTACAGATCTCTAATTTTCCATGGGATCTAGAAATAAAATTTATAGTAAAATCTATAAATGTATGTCTATGAAATTTAGTCCTTGTTTCAGATTTAATTAAATAGGAAAAATCAGTACGTATCATGACATTGTCTAGGAATCGTTCAGCTATTATATTTCCATGATTGATAAACAATGAACATTTCACTATTCCTAAAAACAAGGTGAAACTTGACGCCACAGGAAAGGATATTGTGCTCAAGAGTTGAAGATGCAGAGTGAAGAGTCATCGGGAATGTGCTCACTTGGCTCAGTTCAGTTCGTTAGGGTGAGCGACTTGTGTTTTGTCCCTCGTGCCCCCTGGTGGCATTTGGCATAATGAGTATGTATGTGCTGTAGGAGCATCTGCTAAGGATGGTAAGTGTGGGATTCTGGTCAGCGACCAGATGGGCCTAGTTAGTACAGTCATTTCCTGATATATATATACACACTTTTTATTCTTGATTTATTTTTTCTGTAAAAGTCCAGTGTACTGAGGCTTTATCCTTTCTTAAGACCACTGCGGCCCCTTAGTGTGGAATACAGAGCTGCCCAGGAGGCGCCTCTCACTTCACACTGCCTCCTCCCTTTTGCATCTCCTCATGCTAACAGCAGCCTAGGTGACCAGAATATGCTGGAGCAATAAAGGCAAGCGTGGAGCATCTGTAGTGTAGAGATGCTGTCGTGGTCCGTGAGGCTGCCTTAGACTCTTGGAATCACTGAGGGCTCATCTGTCCTGCACACTTTCATCGAGGCCTGTACCGCATTGAACGGCCAGCTGAATGCTCCAGGGATTCGCTGGCTCCGAAGAGCCCCGAGAACACAGCTGATCAAGCAGCACATGCCAGTCATATCCAAGGAGTGCTGTTTCTTGACAGGAAGGGCTAATGGTTCCTGGGCACTTGGCCGAGGCCATGGTCCTCTTGAGCATGCCCGTTTGCTCTGGAAGCCGTCTCTGGAGGTGCTGTACTTGTTCAGACCAAGCTATCTCTGCTGTTCAAGAATTGAAAAATCCATTACACAGTTCCCATACGTTAGTGTGTTGTGCTTGTGTGAGACACGTGTGGAGCTGTGTGTGTGTGAAGCGTCTTCCCACTGTTTGAGAACACAGGAATAGTAGTGGCAGCTTTAGGGAAAATGAGGCGGAGAGAAGCTGGGAGCAGAGTCCATTTATTTTAAAGTAGATGCTCATCCGATGTATCTCATTCTGACAGATTACTGTCTCCTCCACAGGTGGTTGTTATCAGGCAACAAAGATACTTAGTGTCCCGGGTTAGGATGCAAATTATAAGCACAGATTCAATAAAACATGTTCTGCAGGCACACTGGAGTTTGTATTTGAGAAGGACACAGTTTACTGACAAACCAGTGCCTATCATAAACACAAAACATAGCTTTAGTGTGCAGGCTTTTCTGCCTTTACTTTCATCGAGGGTTCATTATTGTTAATCTGACATGTTTTGGGGGTGGGTCATCCACTGCTTTTAAGTAAATACGCTGGTGTTTCCTACTGCCTTTGATTGACCCCCCAAAGTGATTTTGCCGCTGCGTTTTGAGCATGGCCAGTCATTTTTACCCCAAGTGATGACAGCAGATTTGCATGCCCTGCCTCTGAGTGAGAAAGCATGCTCTACCTATGCAAACAACCGGTACAAAAGGCTATACTCAATGTTGTTCCAAGAACACAACTCTTAAATTGTGGAGCTCTATTTTTGACTTTGTAATTTTTAAAATGTAGCTTAATCAGTGCAGATGAGCATGACTGTGACTTCTTGGTTAGTTTTGCGTATATTTCTCTTTATTGATTTTTCTCTTATCATTGGCGAGATTGTTTGTAAAATAAATATTTTGTGGGCAGGAGTGGAATTAGGTATGTTGAGCATACGTTGATGTACATACTGTATTTAACCTGAAAACTTTCCTAAAGTATTTTGTTCTAAAAATAACCTGCCATTTTCTATAGATTTTAATTTTTTATATCTTCTAGGGTTCTACCGCGGTCACAAGGAACGAATGTGGCTTCAAATCGTGCTAACAATTTAAAAATGCTTTTGTAGACACTTAAAGCTGTTTTGGAAAGCTTTGGCGCTTCCCTCCACTGGGCACAGTAAGAACAAGGCTCTCACACTTATAGTGGTGGTATGCGGTGGATTTGGGTGCAGATCCACCTGATGCTCATTTAAAACCAGTGTTTTCCCTTTGGGGGGAGAGAGAGGTTCATAGCTGATGTGAGCTTTTCGCCTCTCACACGCATCCTCTGAAATTCTTGGGCTTGTTCTGAGTGACTCATCTTTGGTGGTACCCAGCATTCACGAAGGTGATCAGGGGAATTTCTAATGTCTGGGTGCCCCTCCCAAGCTTTTGACCTGATTCATGGAGAGGTGGGTCCCAGAATTACCACCCCTGAGGTTCCTGTGTGTTCATAATTTGCAGTCAGGATTAAGAACCGCTGTGATTCACCGCCCCTTTGCCAAGCATTATGGTGAGAATCACTGCAGGCAGAGTACTCAGGAGCGACTCCGATTGCTCGGCTCTTCTGGAGAGGAAGCCGGAAGGCTGGCTGGTGTCAGTGTCCTGTGGGAGGAGCGTGGAGTGTGGAGCGTCCTGCGGCCGGCCCTAACGGCCAGCGTGCTGGGGTGGGCGTTTCCGCTGCTAGCGTGGGCAGAGTAACAGGTGGGTCTGTGTGCTTCCAGAGCCTTTCCCCTGGATTCCGTGCGGTTGGGGGTTGAGACCATGGGGGAAGGGGGCACTCTACATTAGAAAATGTGGAAGAAGAAAATAGAAAATAACCTTTCAGGCCTTGCAAAACCTGCCCCTGCTTTTGATAGAATGATTGCCTTTTTGTAATAATGACCGTAGCACCTCCCAGGCTGCTGTGGTTCCTGCTGCTCCAGAACAGTGTCTGGAATTCTTTCTCATCTGGAAACAATTATGAAATATTTTACTTGGATTTTTTTTTTTTCTTTCGGTAACTCTTGTAATTTTTTCATGTAATTTTTAAAAAGTCAAGTAGCACACATCCAAAACTTTGGCCAGTGAATGCTAACTTACAGAGGCAAGTGGGAGTTAATTTCAGTCTGGGGTGAGTGGAGTGCACCGCAACATCTGCGAAATGATCTGCCGTGCTTGGGGCTTCATCTCTTTTGAACATTGTGCCGCCTACAAGTACAAACACGGTTTAGCTGGTATTTTCAGCACTTCAAGCGAGAAGGGAAAATTCAGGTTGGAAGCGCTTCTGTAGACAGGCCTTCTGGAGCAGAGACGTCGTGCGCCACGGAGACGCAGCGTGAGCCTTCCTAGGTGCTATTCTGACGGGGTGGCGGCGCGACCCCAAGGAAAGGAGGGCAGTGCTTCTGGGGCCGGAGTGCTCGTGGCCCTTGGCGCTGGCGGTCGCGTCGCCCGGAGCGCTGCTCGCCAGATGTGCCTCTCCCCGCTGGCTCAAGTCGGATCCAGGTCCCATTCCAAGAGGTCTCTTGAGGGGACGCTCGCTCACGCCGGGGTTTCCTTAGCCTGAAAGCTGCATGTCATGTCACTGTACACAAAGAGCTTCGATGTCATTCATGCACCATCGAAAATCCTGTGTGGTTTTCTTTAGTTGTGTAATAAAGTGGAAGGCAGGATGCCTTTCCTAGTGGCTGGAAAAAGCATCTTACATTTTAATTATTTTCGACCAAGTGCATGAGATGTGTCACTGACTTCTGTTATTTATTTGTATGTTTTATTATTCAAGGTGTATGCACTTTTAAGAAACAGAATTTATATTTTTATGTTTAAACATTTTATTTCCGAAACAGCAGTTATTATGTAGTATGCAGTTGGAATTAAGAGAAAAGTGGAAATGTAATAAAATACAATAAATTTATTCTGTATTCCTCAAGCCGTATTCCTCTGTTCTCCCTCCTCCAGCCTGCGTCTTTTTGATGTTGACTAATAACGTTTGCTCCATCGACATGCACAGAACGCTTTTCAGTTGCAGTGTTAGGTGTGAAGAAGCTAGCTGAAGATACCTTAGTCTACCTGAAAGTTTTTAAACCCACATCTGTGCTTACGTAATCTTCACAATTAGTGGTTATGTGGCGGAGCAGGGGCAGTTTGTCCTGGGCCGTGGAGCCAGACAGAACTCACTGTGGTCCAAGTCCAGCAGACTTTTAGCGTTCTATATTGCTTTTCTTGTCCCACCAAACGTTTATGGTGGGAGAAAATAGCGGCAGAAAAGGGGCCACTCTTCCTCTCCCCATCTTGCCCCTGACGCACAGTACTGCAGCATGTAGGTGTCCCGCTCTGAGGGCCTCAGCGGTCTCTTCTTCCCTCAGGACTGAATGGCCCACTGGGGATGTCACATCACCTGTGACCGCTTGCTTGGGGGTGGTAGAAGTCATTATCAGCGCGTGTATTGGTAGGGTCCAGCCTGGAGGTTCCTGCCCTGCTTCCCGATGTGGGAAGTGCCAAGGTGAGCACGCGAATCAGCGCGGGTCTCTGCTCAGGTGAGGACCCCAGCCGTCCCCTGTGTGTTCCCCACACGCAAGTCCGGGTCACAGGACGTGGTTTCCTGAAGGCACAGCATTGCGGGGCTTAGCATTGGCTGACCCGGAGCTGGTGTGAGCCTCGTGCCATGAAGACCCAAGGCACAGCGCTTAGGTTATTTTGTTTGTTTTCCATTTATGTGTTTGGCCCAGGGTCTCACTACACAGCTCGGACTTGTGGTCCTCCTCTTTTCAGCCTCCCCAGCACTGGGATTACGGGCCTGTGCCACCACGCCCAGTGGCGGGGCCGGTGCGGTGTGCTTGTGGGACCAGGGATTGAAACACAACACTTAGTTTTAAATGGTGAGATTTTGCTGTAGTTTCTATTAGAGAATTTAACTGTGTAGCATGTTAGTAATTTAAGAGACTTCATACACCTAGAAGTGTTCACGTGTCATTAAACACGTAGGTTTAGAAGTGATACAAATATGAAAGGTAATTTTTAGCCTTAGAATTTGGAGGGTTATTTTCATGTTGGTCACCATCTCCAAGTCCCGAGGAAAGCAGTGTGGTGAGCTCCTGGCCATGGACCACGGGCTCCTGGGTGTTAAGGAGCCCCATAGGAGACTGAGGGCCCCTGGCTCACTTGGCAGGTGGCAGAGTCTGGCCCAGCCCCAGAGAGCCCGCTTTTCCCTACGTGGGTCCCAGGCTTCTACATGTGGATGCCTTGGTTTTCCTTAGTGGCTCAGTCCCCATTCTCAGGTCTCTGCCTTGGTTGCCTGGGAGTTTCTCCTCTCCGGAGATGTCGGGTCTGCCTCATGCCAGGCCTTGGGCCTCCATTCTGATTTGCTCTGATCTTGGCCAGCTGTCTGGTACTCCTTCTAGTGTCTGCTGCACAGAGAGGACAGGATTTTTGCATGTGTAGCCCAGTAGCCTTTCACCTCATGTCTTATACCTTTTGGAGATACGG